CAAACCTGGTGGCCAACTACAAGAAATGTCTGACCTCTGTGATTGCCAACAAGGGTTTTGCCACCAAGTACTAAGTCATGTTTTGCAGAGGGGTCAAATACTTATTTCCCTAATTAAAATGCAAATCAATTTATAACATTTTTGACATGTGTTTTTTCTGATTTTTTTTGTTGTTATTCTGTCTCTCACTGTTGAAATAAACCTACCATTAAAATTATAGACTGATCATGTCTTTGTCAGTGGGCAAACGTACAAAATCAGGGGATCAAATACTTTTTTCCCTCTGTACCTATTTGCTTATGGTCTTGCCTACGCCTAGCGAACAGTTTTTGAAAATATATGAGAAAAAAATATTCACTTTTATATGGAACGGCAAGCCAGACAAAATTAAATGGGCCTATTTATATAATGAATATGAATTCGGAGGACAGAAATTATTGAATATTAAAGCATTAGACCTATCACTAAAAGCTTCAGTCATACAAAAGTTAAACTTAAATCCGAACTGGTTCTCTACCTTTATTCAGATTACAACCTCACACTTTCAGTTATTTGAAAAGGAAATAATCTCCCAAATATCACTATTTCTAAAACAAGCCATAGAAAGTTGGTTGCAATTTCAATTTAATCCTCCAGAAACGACAGAACAAATAATGCAACAAATATTGTGGTTAAACTCAAATATACTAATTGATAAAAAAACTTTTTTTTTTTTTACAAAATGTTGAAAAAAGGTATAATCTTTGTAAATTATATCATCGGTTGGACTGGTGGAGTTATGTCACACATGCAGCTAACAAAAACATATGGAAATGTCTGCTCTAGACAAAATTACAACCAAAAAATTGCAGCATTACCGCAGAAATGTAAGAGGAAAGTGGAAGGGGGAAAATGTAAGGAATTTGTCTGACGGCCTTGCATTAAAAAACATAATTGGTTAAAGAAAACTGTGATAAATAACAAAGTATACCAGTTTCATTTAAGGACCAAAGGATTGACAGCCATCCCATATAGATTGCAAAATAGTTGGGAAGAGATTTTTGACGTACCGATCCCATGGCATAGTGTTTATGAACTGATACACAAAACAACACCGGATTCAAAACTTAGAATTTTTCTATTTAAATTATTACATACAATTCTTGCTATCAATAGAATGTTATTTATATGGAGGATACAATCTTCCCAGCTCTGCAGATTTTGCTGCGAAGAGACAGAATCATTAGATCATTTGTTTTGGTACTGTCCATTTGTAGGTTGTTTTTGGACACAGGTCCAGGAATGGCTAAAGGATTGCAATATTTACCTGGAGCTAACCCTGCAGATAGCACTACTGGGTGATCTGAAAAGTAATAGACAATCGATCAATAATATAATAATACTTTTAGCAAAAATGTTTATTTTCAATTTACAATCTGTAGAAACAATGAGAATAGAAAGGTTCAGAATTTTTGTAAAACATCACAGTACAGTTGAAAAATATATGGCAAATAGAAATCCAATATGGATGGTGTTAAGAGATAGATGGGTGGTGTTGAATAGAGTTGAAGGATGGGACTAATAACAACTAACAACAACTAATAACAACAAGATAACTAATAATGTAAGCATACTGTGTCCAAAATAAGTATATAGGTTATAGGTTGAGAGCTGTTGTGAAAGAGCACAGTTAGAAAGATATGGCAAACCGGATGGACATCATGAAAATGATCGGAGAGGTTGAGGGTAGAGGAAATTCAGGAGTAAAAACAAACAAAATAGAATCATTGTAAAATTGACTGTGTCCATAAAATGTATATAGTATGTATAAGCTGGAAGTAGAGGCCTAAGCATTGTTGTTCACTAGTTTACTCCAATTAGGGAAGGGGTGGTGGGGTTGGAAAGTAATAAAGTGAAATATATATTTTTTAAAGGAAATGTATATGTATGTGTATATATGTACAGTGGGGGAAAAAAGTATTTAGTCAGCCACCAATTGTGCAAGTTCTCCCACTTAAAAAGATGAGAGAGGCCTGTAATTTTCATCATAGGTACACGTCAACTATGACAGACAAATTGAGGAAAAAAAATCCAGAAAATCACATTGTAGGATTTTTAATGAATTTATTTGCAAATTATGGTGGAAAATAAGTATTTGGTCACCTACAAACAAGCAAGATTTCTGGCTCTCACAGACCTGTAACTTCTTCTTTAAGAGGCTCCTCTGTCCTCCACTCATTACCTGTATTAATGGCACCTGTTTGAACTTGTTATCAGTATAAAATACACCTGTCCACAACCTCAAACAGTCACACTCCAAACTCCACTATGGCCAAGACCAAAGAGCTGTGAAAGACACCAGAAACAAAATTGTAGACCTGCACTAGGCTGGGAAGACTGAATCTGCAATAGGTAAGCAGCTTGGTTTGAAGAAATCAACTGTGGCAGCAATTATTAGGAAATGGAAGACATACAAGACCACTGATAATCTCCCTCGATCTGGGGCTCCACGCAAGATCTCACCCCGTGGGGTCAAAATGATCACAATAACGGTGAGCAAAAATCCCAGAACCACACGGGGGGACCTAGTGAATGACCTGCAGAGAGCTGGGACCAAAGTAACAAAGCCTACCATCAGTAACACACTACGCCGCCAGGGACTCAAATCCTGCAGTGCGAGACGTGTCCCCCTGCTTAAGCCAGTACATGTCTAGGCCCGTCTGAAGTTTGCTAGAGTGCATTTGGATGATCCAGAAGAGGATTGGGAGAATGTCATATGGTCAGATGAAACCAAAATATAACTTTTTGGTAAAAACTCAACTCGTCGTGTTTGGAGGACAAAGAATGCTGAGTTGCATCCAAAGAACACCATACCTACTGTGAAGCATGGGGGTGGAAACATCATGCTTTGGGGCTGTTTTTCTGCAAAGGGACCAGGACGACTGATCTGTGTAAAGGAAAGAATGAATGGGGCCATGAATCGTGAGATTTTGAGTGAAAACCTCCTTCCATCAGCAAGGGCATTGAAGATGAAACGTGGCTGGGTCTTTCAGCATGACAATGATCCCAAACACACTGCCCGGGCAACGAAGGAGTGGCTTCGTAAGAAGCATTTCAAGGTCCTGGAGTGGCCTAGCCAGTCTCCAGATCTCAACCCCATAGAAAATCTTTGGAGGGAGTTGAAAGTCCGTGTTGCCCAGCGACAGCCCCAAAACATCACTGCTCTAGAGGAGATCTGCATGGAGGAATGGGCCAAAATACCAGCAACAGTGTGTGAAAACCTTGTGAAGACTTACAGAAAACGTTTGACCTGTGTCATTGCCAACAAAGGGTATATAACAAAGTATTGAGAAACTTTTGTTATTGACCAAATACTTATTTTCCACCATAATTTGCAAATAAATTCATTAAAAATCCTACAATGTGATTTTCTGGATTATTTTTTTCTCATTTTGTCTGTCATAGTTGATGTGTACCTATGATGACAATTACAGGCCTCTCTCATCTTTTTAAGTGGGAGAACTTGCACAATTGGTGGCTGACTAAATACTTGTTTTCCCCACTGTATGTATATGTGTATGTATGTGAGTATATGTGTATATATATATTTGCGAGAAAAATAAAAATAAACATATGGGGGATTGGAAGTGATGCAGACAATTTCATTGATGGAAGTTACAATCTATCTGCAATAAACTTATCTACCCCCTAAAAAAAATAAAAAAAATGAATAACATTTCTAAAAACATGTTTTTGCTTTGTCATTATGGGGTATTGTGTGTAGATTGTTCCGGGAAAAAAACAATTGAATCAATTTTAGAATAAGGCTGTAACGTAACAAAATGTGGAAAAAGTCAATGGGTCTGTATAGTTCCAGAATGCGCTGTACATACAACAACTGTGCTGACAATCTGCTCTGGCCCCCATACTGAAAAGACAAAAGGTCAAAGGTCTCCCTCGTGACCTTTCTCATGCCCTCCTCTCCCATCTTTAGAAGTAAAGGATTAACACGCACATAACCATGCTTTTCTCGCTTGATGTATGGAATTACAGACCCCAAATTTACTTTGTAGAAAAATAGTTTATCGTAAAAGTTTTGGTCAGAGACTTTCTCATGCCCTCCTCAGCCTCTTTAATGGAAAACGGATAACTGAAAACTGTAATTTATACTGTAATTTGGGGAATTGTCAACAGTAAAATACTCTGAAACTTTTTACTGCAGCATACTGTAAATGATGGTGCATTGTGGGAAAATGTTGTGGGCGGGGAAAGAATTGCTGTATTTCGAATGGTACTGTAATTCCACCCCACAGAATACAGTGACGTACCGTATCTTTAGAGCACCAAAAACTTTTTTCACCGCTAGTGGGTTCATGGTATTGTTGTTTCTGCCTCATTAACATATGTTGAGGCGTGCCTTGTAACATTTAAGAGGCCATATTTGTTGCAGCTGTGAGTAAGAATGCTGTACCAATTTAACTCCTATGTGGAGTGGCAGTGAGTTTTAAACCTTAAATGATTGAGCATTTTTGCCATGTCCTTTTGGTCAGTTTTGCTCTGTAGTTGCTGCCAGTTTGGAAGTCTTTGTTAAGGCCTCTAGCAGTGCAAGTGATATAAAACACCAAATATTCATTAATATACTGTAATCTGTATGCATTTTACCAAGCAGCCAACCTGTTTGCACCAATCCCTTGTAATTACAGTAAAATACTGTGAAATACAAACCCCTCCCCTCAATAAATGTAATGCATTCATTCATTCATTCCTTCCAATTACGGTAGCATTAACTTTTTTTACAGTATAATACAGTACATTTTACGGTATTGTACTAGGTGTCATTACACAGTACTTGCTTTAATACCGTATTTATATTACAGTAGGTGTATTGTAATATGAAATACGGAATTTTACATGCCACTGAGCTGCCTGTCAATTTCACGGCAACCCCTTTACAGTGTTCTCTCTCGCCTCCTCTACTCTCCTCCCCCCTCAGGCCTACGTGCCAGTGGTTCCGGGACAGGGTGAGGCTGACAGAGAAGACCCATCAAATCAACAACAAAGAGCGAACTCTCACCTTCAAGAGCGCCAGCCCCGACGACAACGGCCTGTACTACTGCTGTGCCAAGAATGCAGCCGGCCATGTGTGCAGCAACGCCAACTTCACCCTCAACATCATAGGTGTGTGTGGGTGGGTGGGGGAGTGGAATGTGTGTGTGTGTGTGCGTGCGTCTTTTTTGTCTGTGCACGTTTATCCTGTGTGTGTGTGTGTGTGTGTGTGTGGGCTCCGCTTCTCAGTAAAGGCTGCTTCATAATCCTGTTCCCTTTGTTGACATGGCACACACTTTGGTCCCGCTGGCAATTTGGCCCCATTACTACTGAGTTGCATTTTATCATTCCTACCTTTGCAGCATGGTCTTCAAAAGAATCACACAAACACACACACACACACATAATGTGTCGCTGCTGCTCTGTTGAGCAAGGCAACAGTGTGAGTTAATAAAACAAAAGAAAGGTTATGGCTTGTTAGCATATTTTCCACTTTTCATAAATATTTTCACACCTGTCATGGTGTGTTTAGTCACCTGATAGGCCTGTTAGAGGCTAGGCCTGGCGGCACAATGAGATTTGTTCTGTAGTGAATGTGGACCATTAGTGTGGAGAGAAAGCCTATAATGTGATTACTGCAGGGCCTACCGCTATGTAAGTATCCACAGCCACAGCCACTCACTCACACGCACTCTAAATCACACAAATCCACTTATTGTAAAGGTACTGTTTATTCCCAGAAATTCCATTTAACTGTTTTGCTCCATTTGTGTCGATTCTGTATGTTGTATTTCAATAAGCGCAATTTCACAGTATAAGTCCCTGTATTTTTGTCCTGGTTTCTGTATACATTTTTGCTTATTACACAGTATGTGTGTGTGGAAATGTCACCCCGTGTGCCCCTGAACACATCACCACACAAAAAAGAGTACCAATTAGCCACCTGTGCTGCTTACACACACACACACACACACACACACACACACACACACACACACACACACACATAGACACACCACAAACACGCACACACACACACACACACACACACACACACACACACACACACACATAGACACACCACACACACACACACACACACACACACACATAGACACACCACACACACACACACGCACACACACACACACACACCGGATTAGCACTTGGATGGAGAGACTAAATATCTACATAAAAATATAATTGTTGAGTTTCCACCCGCTGCACAGTGCACTCCCATAGTCCTTCAGTGTGAGTGAATAGTTGTGGGGTGGCACAGGTGTAAACCTGGGTTCAAATAATGTTTGAAATCATTTCAAATGCTTGATTGAGTTTGCTTGTTGCAATGGAACCAATAGAAAAGTCCCAAAAGCGCAAACCCCGTCCACCTGGCACTCTAGGCAGGCTTAAGCAAGCGTTCAAAGTATTTATAACATTTCAAATAGTATTTTAATCCAGGTCTGCCCAGGTGTGTGCTGCTCTGCCCAGTTAGCGTTCCGCTTTGCTCTGTTTAGAACATCCTAATGCGGTTTCTGGCACCTACATCTCTAACGGCTGTGAAATCTGAAGAGTCTTATCCATAGACCTGGATTAGAGGCATTAAACACGCATTACAATGTCCAAAATCATATTTTAAAGCGCTGTAGTCATATCTTTCTGACCTACGCTGTAGCTGGGTATTAAGGGGTATTTAGAGGTGTAAAAATGTCCTAACTCTCAGTGATAAACTTTGTGGTGATTACTCCTCTCCTCTGATCCCTGTGACTCTGACACCTCTCTGGGCACGCCAAGCCAGCTGCAGCCCAAAACAGGGCCTGGAGAGTGGGTGTGTTTGACTGGCAGACAGGTTCTGGTGGTGGAGGTTGGGAGAGAGGGGAGAGAGGATGCCCTGTTAGGCCCCATTGTCTTGCTACACGATCCGCAGTCCCTAAATGAATGTCGTGCTAACTGACGTAAGACCATTAGGGCCTGATGGTAAACGCAGGGTTTAGAATCTGGGCCTGCCTGTAATTACAATATGTCCATCAACTAATCAAAGAAGACCATCTGGAATCTTTCTAACAATTACAAGATTAATTTAATTCATCAAAGGGCGTATTGGTATAGGGGAGAGAGGATGCCCTGTCAGGGTTTTGATGGTCTGTGAGCCTGGTGATGGAAAGTGCTTACTGACCTCATTACGTCTCGCTGGGGCCGAGAGGTGTTGACATCCTGAACCTCCTGAAGGCCCCCTTTGCCTACCTTACACTGCTGTTAGCAACGTTTAATAAAACCTGGTATGAAATGTGTGTATGTGAGTGTGGGTGTTTTACATGTGTCTGTGATGCGTGTGCATCCGTGCACATGCCCGTGCGTGTGTTGTATGTGTTGTGTTTTAATGGCATAATGCCCACAGATGTAGTGATGTCTCTCTCTCTCTCTCTCTCTCTCTCTCTCTCGCTCTCGCTCTCGCTCTCGCTCTCGCTCTCGCTCTCTCTCTCTCTCTCTCAGATAAGAGTTTCCCCCGGCCAGTAGTGACCCCAAGGGACCAGGTTGTCCTGAAGAATGAGGAGGCTGTCTTCCACTGTCAGTTCACTGCTGTCCCAGAGCCCACTGTGGAGTGGTACTATGACAATGAACTTCTCACCAACAAGTCCCGGTAGGCACCAGTCCTCTACCCTCCTTTTCACCTTGTTTAAGCTTTCTCCCTCTCCTCTCCTCTACCTCCTCCTCCATATTTTCTTCCTCCTCCACCTCTCCCTCTCCCCTCCTCCACAACCTCCATCTTCCTCCACCTCCTCTTCAAATAGCCCGTTGTCCAAGGCTATCTCTCTTCCTCTGTCTGTCTGTCTGTGTGGCGTATGTGTAACTGGAGTTCTTTGAGGCCCAGTGAGGTGGAACCCCTGCGTTGGCGTCTATAGCTCTTTGTTTGTTATCACAGCTCAGGCCTTAATGAATTGGAAGGGTAATGTTGCGCGCTAATTAATGTTATTTCTGGAGCAGTGCAGTGTAATGCGATTTTTACAGTGGCTGCGTCCCAAATAGCACCCTAATGCTTCTATGTCCTACTTTTGATCAGGGGGTGCTGTGAGAGTTATTTAAGATACTCTTCAAAGAGGTAAGGTTTCAGACGTTTTCGAAAGATGGGCAGGGACTCCGCTGTCCTGACTTTCGGGCGAAGCTTGTTCCACCATTGGGGTGCCAGGACAGAGAAGAGCGTTGAATGGAGGGCCAAGAGGTCCAAGATGTTGTAGAGCATGAACCTACAGGAGCGAGTCACTGCTTTGATGTTTGCAGAGAATGACAGGGTGTTGTCCAGGGTCATGCCAAGGTTCTGGGAGGGGGACACCGTGGAGTTGTCAACCGTGATGGAGAGGTCTTGGAGCAGGCAGGCCTTTTCCAGGAGGATGAGCAGCTTCGTTCTGTCGAGGTTGAGCTTGAGGTGGGGGGCCGACATCCAAGCTGTGATGTCTGCCAGGCACCCAGAGATGCGTGTCGCCACCTGGGTGTCAGCATGGGGTAAGGAGAATAGTAGTTGAGTGTCAACCGCATAGCAATGATAGGAGATACCATGTGAGGATATGACAGAGCAGAGTGTCTTGGTGTAAAGAGAAAAGAGTAGAGGGCCTAGAACCGAGCCCTGTGGTACACCAGTAGTGAGCAAACGTGGTGCAGACACATATCCTCTCCACGCCACCTGGTAGGAGTGACCTGCCAGGTAGGATGCAATCCAGGAGTGTGCAGAGCCTGATCCGCCCAACCCTGAGGGGGTGGAGAGGAGGATCTGATGGTTCACAGTGTCGAAGGCAGGGGATAGATCTAGGAGGATGAGAACAGAGGACAGAATCAGCTTATGCAGAGCGGAGAGCCTCTGTGACACAGTGGAGAGCGGTCTCAGTTGAGTGAGCCGCCTTGAAGCCTGACTGGTTAGAGTCAAGAAAATCCTGCTGAGAGCGATAACGGGTGAGTTGGTCAGAGACCAAGTGTTTGGGAAAGAAAAGAAAGAAGGGATACTAGTCCGTCGTTTTTTACATGTTAGGGATGTAATTTATTAGGGATGTAATGATTTATTAGGAATGATTCACCGATACACGTCAATACATCGTGTATTCCATGTTGGCTCAACCTAATTTCATTTAAATTACATGGAAACAATGTTGATTCAACCAGTGTGTGCCCAATGGGCTACCTCTCCTCATAGCTGTGGGAAGTAGGGGTGCTGAGGGTAATGCAGCTCCCCCTGAAAAAATAAATAATAATAATAATAATAATAATAATAATAATAATAATAATACAACTAAAAAATATAATCACAAAAGTAGTAATGCACCCAACAATGGAAAGAAGTGGAGGGCGCTCAACCAACGTGAGTCAAGGTGCAATCAAAACATCTGATCATCATTGAAAAGGAAAACGCACAATGTGTGAATAGGCTACCATGGTGAGCGAGCGTTGCACCTTTTAATTTTCAATAAATATTGATTACCCATTTATTTGTCTCTGCCTGCAAATTGTCCTCCTAAAAGGTAGGCTATACACTGAGTGCACAAAACATTAGGAACACCTTCCTAATATTGGTTTGCACCCCCTTTTGCCCTCAGAACAGCCACAATTCATCGGTGCGTGGACTCTACAAGGTGTCGAAAGTGTTCCACAGAGGTGTTGACTCCAATGCTTCCCACAGTTGTGTCAAGTTGTGTTACGAGAATTTCTATCTCTAATTCAACCTAAGCTTGAATCATTACCAGAGGTTGTAAGGCTCTGGTTTTAATCATAAATGATTGAAGGTCCACAACCAGCAAGAATGATCTGTATTTTTATTCATGGAGAGCTCTGGCGCCAAAACCCATACCCTCCTGTTTTATACCTCTTGACACACAAAGGCACTTTGCTCCGCCCACCTTTAGGAGGCTTTCTTAAACAGTTTCCACCTTTCTACTTACCCTGGAATGTTTAGTCCTGCCCCCCCCTCTGTTAGTGGGTTGATAATTGTAACACAGTTTACACATTTATACTGTATTTGGGGTGAAATCCTTTAGTCATTATTCTTAAAATACAAATTAATCTAACAAGTTGGCTTGATATCCTTTGGGTGGTGGACCATTCTTGATACACACAGGAAACTGTTGAGCGTGAAAAGCCCAGCAGCGTTGCAGTTCTTGACACAAACCAGTGTGCCTGGCACCTACTACCATACCCAGTTCAAAGGCACTTAAATATTTTGTCTTACCCTTTTACCCTCTGAATGGCACACACACAATCCATGTCTCAATTATTTCAAGGCTTAAAAATCCTTCTTTAACCTGTCTCCTCCCCTTCATCTACACTAAATGAAATGGATTTAACAAGAGACATCAATAAGGGATCATAGCTTTCACCTGGATTCACCTGGTCAGTCTATGTCATGGAATTCTCACGTGGCCCATTATATTATGTATTACTGGGCTATATCAGCCAATAGGGTAGAAGTAGTTTGGAGAGAGCAGAGTTGGAGAGACTTGCACTTTCTCTTGAGCTACGTTTAATAGCCTACCTTTAGGAGTGGGACGATTTCCATAACAACCAGATGTTATGGAACTTCTCCACTGTTTTGGTCCGGTAGCTACCACGTTGTAGCAGCGTGAAGTGCACCCGTTCACAGTGCACATGTGCAGATACTCTGTGTGTCTGTGAGAGAGAAAGGTAGTGTGATCAAAGGTCCTGAAGTTTTGACTGCAGTAGACTGCAAGTTTCTGCAGTTGCTCTTCACCAACTTCATCTTGCAGCCATCACCTGCATTGTGGGAGGTTCTATTGTCAACCAATCATTAGGGTGTTTTTGTTTGACCCACGCAAATGTGACCAAAGACATGACTAAAACAGGAACCAATTTACCACAATTTATGTGTATAGTGGATATATACAAATAAATGTGATATTTGAGGCTCTCTCTCACTTATTGATTGTACAATGTACACACATAATATTGTATTATGATTTCAGTTTGTGAGTGTGTGAAATCGGGGTTAGATACATGTTTATTTCTGCATTATAATGAAAACCTTTTTAGAAACAATGGCAACACTGCCATGTTGATCTTGGTCTTGCTTTTGGAAAACCACATTTGTTTCCGACCTTCCGCTGTCGCAGATGCACCTCCCTCGATTTCACTCCTTGACTTTCGCCTACAGTCGGTTGCTTTAGCCTTACCATTCAAACACGCCCAATATCTGCGGTGCTGATTTGATTTTGAGTCTACCTTTAAATTATAAAGTCAATCTCAATGTGACCCGCCTGATTCAGAAGCTTGAAAACCCCATTAGGAAAAAAATCTTAAAAACCACATTCGATATTTGCTCCCCCCCTGAACTGAACATAATTCAGGATGGTTTTTATTTTATTTCAGCTCGTTTTGGAGTCAAAGATAATAGTTGCAGTATACATTTACATTTTAATCACATATCAGGCGCTCTTATCCAGAGCGACTTACAGTTAGTGCATTCATCTTAAGATAGCTAGGTGGGACAACCACATATTTCAGCCATAGTAAGTACATTATTCCTCAGTGAAGTAGCTATCAGCAGTCAGAGCTAGAAAGGGGGAAAAAAAAGTCAAGTGCGAGTGTTAGTTCACAAAAGGCTTTTTCTTTCGTGGGGGTGAGAAGGGGGTGCGAGGGGGGGTGCTGTGGGATTATTTAAAATACTCTTTGAAAAGGTGTGGTTTCAGATGTTTTCGGAAGATGGGGCAGGGACTCTGCTGTCCTAGTTTCAGGAGGAAGCTGGTTCCACCATTGGGGGTGCCAGGACAGAGAAGAGCTTTGACTGGTCTGAATGGGATCTGCCCTACAGTAGGGATGGGAGGGCCAAGAGACCAGAGGTGGCAGAACGGTCTCTTGGTATAAATTATTTTATTTGAGTTTGCTAAATAGTTGTCTTTTTTATTTATAAATGTTTTCTCCCCAATTTTCGTGATATACAATTGGTAGTTACAGTCTTGTCCCATTGCTGCAACTCCTGTACGGACTCGGGAGAGGCGAAGGTCGAGAGCCATGTGTCCTCCGAAACACGACCCTGCCAAGCCGCACTGCTTCTTGACACACTGCTCGCTTAACCCGTAACCTGACGTCCCCGTAGAATTTAGTACAGCCATGGGGTTATGGAGCTGTCTCAGAAGAGCTGTCTATCTATAAAGAGTTTGTCCACAATGCTTACCGCTCTCCCTCTGTTGCCTCTGTACAGGATACAGCCTCTTGCGACGTTTGTTTATCTCCCGGGGAAATTGGTCATTGAGACCGAATATGGTCCCTTTAAGCTCCTTTCCCCTGCTTGTGATCAGCTCCTTTTGTTGGTAGTGTTCACATTTTGCGATGATAGGCCGGGGACCCTTGGTCTTGTCGCTCCGAGCTCCAAGTCTGTGCACTCGGTGGAAAGCCACCTTGTTTACAGTCTCTAGAGGAAGTTTCAAGGCAGATTGCATGAACTCTCTGATCGCCCCCTCTGGATTATTGGATGCGTCCTCAGGAATCCCAGAAAATGTGAGATTTTCACGCATGCTACAGGTTTGTATGTCTAGTAGTGACTCCCTCATCACCCTGTTTTCCCTGAGTAGACAATCCATGTTGGAATCGAGGGTTTCTACCTTGGCTGTGAGTGCCTTGTTCTCTCCTTGGAGTGTGAGAATTTCACTGTGGCTAAACTCCAAACTCCCCCTCAGCCCTGCTACCTCCTCACACAACTTTTGAAGTGTTGCATGGATTCCGGCAAGAGCACTAGCCTCTACTTCAATGGTAAGTAAGTCGTGCGTGTCTGTAGATGAATCTGTCTTTCTTTTTTTGTTGGGTTAGAGTGTTTTTGTGAGGTAGCCGGATCTTTCCACGATGCAGTATGATGCTCCTCCATAACATAAAACTGTTGGTACTCGTCGATTTCCCTCAGGATCTCCTTAGTATCCAGGTTGGCTCTGAACTGCAACCAGTTGTTTACAAATGTTTTTAACAATGCGTCTTTCCCACGACGACCGAAGATGTAATCATGAGTTGGAAAATGCGCGATCCCACTTCAATACAAAGTTGCTTTCACTGTTTTGTTTGTAATTAACAGGCTGCTCCGTGAAGTCTTTGCTGCTTCCCCCAACCTTGTCACAACATGGCTGCTCCATACAGCATTTTGAATCTCAACACTGAGGAATGCAATGTTGCCTTTCTTGCATTCTTCAATTAGTCGTGGCAGCATTACCTTTCTTTTGAGGCATACCTTTTCGGAGAAGTCTTCATTGATGAAGATTTTGGTTCCCTTCAGGCACTTGGCTCTCCTGAGAATCTCCTCCTTGTCTTTGAACCTGAGCAGTTTCACCACTATACATCTGGGCTGTCCTTCAGAAAAGAAATTGCCAATCCTATGTGCCCTCTCCATCTCAATGAGTAGGGTCCAGTTTTTGTTGATCTGCCAGGAGTTTCTTGGTCTTGACTTCTCTCATGCCAAGTTTCAGTCTTTACGTCCTCAGTTCCATCGATGAAAATGTTATTGCGCCTCGATTGGTTTTCGAGAGTGCTTGTCAAGTGTTGTTTGGAAAATTGTGAAATCCTCCGACTAACACGACTCAGGATATGACCCAGATGCAGACACAGGAGACGGAAGGTTCAATATACAGAGTAATTGATTAAAACCACAGAAGGCAGGCAAAGGGCAGGTCGAGGACAGGCAGAGGTTCGTAACCAGATCAGAGTCTGATAGGTACAGGACGGCAGGCAGGCTCGGGGTCACGGCAGGCAGAATAGGTCGGAAACAGGAATACGGGAAAAAACACACTGGTAGGCATGACGAAACAAGGCGAACTGGCAACAGACAAACAGAAAACACAGGTATAAATACACAGGGGATAATGGGGAAAATTGGCAACACCTGGTGGGGGGTGGAGACAAGCACAAGACAGGTGAAACAGATCAGGGTGTGACACAGACATGATTTTGAATGCAGTCTGGCTGGTGACATTCGCGCCCATTCGCTCCTCCACCTCCGACTGCATAAATTCCAAACAAGTGTTTAAATTCCATTACATCCTTAAACAGATCATCAACTCTTTTGTTTGTAGGATACATAAAGAGTTGCAGGAAGGACTTAAAGTTATTTTCCTGCAGATCTATTAGATTATTTTAGAACTTGTTTTGTTGATCGAGTAGTGGAATGTAGTGCTTGATACATATTCCTCTTCCGTATTGTGCTTTGCAGCATTTTTCTGTCTAGTGTTAGCCATGCTACAAGCTTGTTGTGAGCTAAAATGAGTTTGCAAACACAACCCACACCCCGCCTCCCGAAATCAAGCTCCGCCAGTGAAATGGCAAACACACACAAGCAACACACACTTGATCACACATGCACCAGTACGATAAACAGAGAGAAGGCGGAGAACTTGCTCTATGTATGGATCCTGGCTGCACTTTACTAAACGAGCGGGAGATTACCAACTCTAAAGTTAGCGCTGTGGATACAAGCAGTATGCGGGGCAGTAAGCCAAACACCGGTCAAAGATGCTTGGGAAGAGACAGTGGTAGGAGCATTCGCTTACCCACGGAACAAGCAGCGTGAACGAGCAGCGTAAACAATGTCAGAGTCCTTCCGGGTTGGAGTTAAGATCAGAATGAATGGTGGATTGCCATGAATGGTGAATAACCGTGCGTGCACATCCCTATCAGAGAGAACCTGGAGGGTCTGTGTCTCATTATGCTTGCCCATTCTTTAAGTTTTTGTCTCCTTGGAGCTACAGCGGCTCATTTCCCAAAGCTCATTTCCCAAAGCTCATTTCCCAAAGCTCATTTCCCAAAGCTCATTTCCCACCTACCAGTGAATAAAGCCTGAATATAATGTAGAAATATCACTGTTCCCCAGAGAAGCCACAAGGCAGTCATGCAGACAGGTAGATTGGGAGCTGGGTGATGACTTTTTTTAGGTGACAAACAGTGTTGAAAATAGTCCCCACTTTTGTATCATTGCTGATGCTTGTGGTGATAAATCATTTCCCCAAGTTTGTATCAATAAAGGAATACTCTAATGTACTCTAAACAAACAAAAACAGATATAATATAAAGGCTTAATATAGGCAATTCATAAAGCATGCATAAGCACAACATAAATGCTTCATAAAGCATTTATAAGCAAGTCATACTACATACATGTAGTATGTGGGAGCTAAAATTGCATCTATGTGTATTACATGGCACTAGCCTTGGCAATATAATTTTTCTGACTGCACATTTCACTTCTTTTAAAGCTACAGTCTGGTATTTAAAAAAACATAATCTTCAAGAATCAATGGCTATATATCATTAATTTAAAAGTTCAAAAACAGATATACAAATCTTAGACTGTAGCTGTCCGTCTAGTAGCTAGCCAGTGAAACCATATTGCTATGAGGGAATAATAGATAATAATGTGACCTGCCAGTGGTGTGCCAGTCTGTCTTGCTCTCTGTGTTGTTATTGGATGTGAAGCTCCTTAGCTGTCAGACTTTGAGCTGACTAAAGGTCAGACAGTAATGAGTCTTTATCCTCTCCATCACACACACTGAAACTCCTCTTTCCCTACTAGGGGCCAGAAAAAGGGCATGGCATATACTGGGCCAGATAGAATAGACACATACCCTTTTCACACTGAGCCGAGCCAAGCTGTTCTGAGCTGGCCTGGTTACGAATCCACCACAGCTGGAACCCTGCTGGAAAGGATCATTTGAAAAGAAAAGATCTGAGCCAGCAGAGTATGGTTCGGGTCGGCACGATAGTGTGAAAAGGGTGTTAAGTGCGTACTGTAAAATCACCTATTCAAAATGTAATGTCTTTGCATAGCTAAACCTACTCTATTAAAGGAAAACTCCACCCAAAAACGACATTAGTCCATTGTTGACATAGTCCCAAAATGTTTTGCTTGTCAGCACTCAAGTTTTCAAGGAATGTATCCTTGTATGATGCATTTTGGGACTGTTTTTGGGTGGAATTTTCCTTTAATGTAAGTGCCTTCTTCAGTTTCTGCATTCGTACTCTGTTTTGGTTGACAGTATCAGCAAGTGAATGGCATTATTGATGTTCATCTGAGTACTACCTGTGTCCCCTCTCCTCTCCTCTCTCAATAGAGTGATCCTGTACACCAACGGTACCCTGCTAATCACCCAGGTGAAGCCCAGAAACATTGGCTCCTACAGGTGTGTGGGTAGAGGGCCCCGGGGCCCCGACATCACGCTGGAGGCCTCCCTCCTCATAGCAGGTACTACACTAACATACACACACACGCAGACACACACACACACCTGATTGAATGGGTGGAATGGAGGATTTATGGCAGTGTCGAAGCAGCAGCTATTCTTTCTGGGATCCACACAAAAACATAAAACACAACAAGTATCAAAACACTGATACACTGATAGAATCTAATCAAATGTTCTATTTGGCACATGCTTCGGAAACAACAGGTGTAGACTAACAGTGAAATGCTTACTTACGGGTCCTTTTCCAACAATGCAGATTTAAAGATAATTTTTGTTTTGTTATAATGACACGAGGAAAAATATGCAGTTAATAATGAATAACAAAAAACGTGTAAAAATTACATGGCTACAGTGCCTTTTCAGAAAGTATTCATACCCCTTGACTTATTCCACATTTTGTTGTGTTACAGCCTGAATAAAAAAAAAAAAAAAAAAAATTTAACTGCTCACCCATCTACACACAATAACCCATAATGACAAAGTGAAAACATGTTTTTAAAAATGTTTGCAAATGTATTGAAAATGAAATACAGAAATATTTCATTTACATAAGTTTTCACACCCCTTTGTAGAAGCACCTTTGGCAGCGATTACAGCTGTGAGTCTTTCTGGGTAAGTCTCTAAGAGCTTTCCACACCTGGATTGTGCAACATTTGCCCATTTTATTTTTCAAAGTTCTTCAAGCTCTGTCAAATTTGTTGTTGATCATTGCTAGACAAACATTGTCAGGTCTTGCCATAGATTTTCAAGTATATTTAAGTCAAAACTGTAACTCGGCCACTCAGGAACATTCACTGTCATCTTGGTAAGCAACTCCAGTATAGATTTGGCCTTGTGTTTTAGGTTATTGTCCTGCTGAAAGGTGAATTCATCTCCCAGTGTCTGGTGGAAAGCAGACTGAACCAGGTTTTCCTCTAGGATTTTGCCTGTGCTTAGCTCCATTCCGTTTCTTTTTTATCCTGAAAACCTCCCCAGTCCTTAATGATTACAAGCATACCCATAACATGATGCAGCAACCACTATACTTGAAAATATGGAGAGTGGGACTCAGTAATGTGTTGTATTGGATTTGCCCCAAACATAACACTTTGTATTCACGCCAAAAAAGGAATTGCTTTGCCACATTTTTTGCAGTATTACTTTAGTGCCTTGTTGCAAAGAGGATGTATGTTTTGGGATATTTGTATTCTGTACAGGCTTCCTTCTTTACACTCTGTCAATTAGGTAAGTGTTGTGGAGTAACTACAATGTTGTTGATCCATCCACAGTTTTCTCCAATCACAGCCATTAAACTCTGTAACTGTTTTGAAGTCACCATTGGCCTCATGGTGAAATCCCTGACTGTTTTCCTTCCTCTCCGGCAACAAAGTTAAGAAGAATGCCAGTATCTTTGTAGTGACCAGGGGTGTAGTGCTGCCGGAGCACAGAGGAGCAGCGCTCCCTCACTTTTTTCAATTTGAGAATACATGGTGCTGGTAAAACTATTTCAGGAAAATAAATTCGGATAAATTCTAAAATAATTATATTTAATTACCACGTTAATAAACTCCACGGACCCTCTCTTGCGCAGTGGAACTCAGAACGATATGTGACCACTTGGTTACGGCGACACCGTTCTGCCGAGGACACCCAAACCAGAGTGGCCACCACCTCTTTTACATAATTGCGTGATCTTGGTGCTGTCCATTCAGAACCACGAAGAGTGCTCCAATCGTTTAAAATAACACTCATCATGATCTGTTGCCTATGCCTAATAGTCCTACTCATCACTTATTATTAGTATTATTACAAATAGAAGATTATCACTTCTCACAATGGTGTTCGTTTAGTAAAGTTAGATCAAAGCTGAATCAATGTCTCGCAAGATCACATAACGATTCATTGATATTTTATATAACAGAACCAAATATAATAGCATAGCATAGGAGGCCTATAACATTACTTTTACACCAAAAACACCTCCTCTTTTCTAATGAGATTTTAGGATGGTTAGCTGAAGCTGAATAGTCCCCAGAAAATTATAATGCGCCAAAACTCAACAGAGCCCGCCACTATTCAGGATATATGCTTTGATTGAAACAAAATATAAGAAAGGCTAATCGTTTTTTAACATCTGCTCTAATACGTTCACGAAACAGTTATTCAATGAGATGGAAATGCATCGGCTATTCCCATGAAACTGGTTGAGATCAATCAAATGATTGGCATGCAGGTGCAGTTTCACCAGTAAAACTTGAATCATTATCATTCACGAGTGACAGTGATGATGGCCTATTTTGAAATGAGGTATGCCTAACTTGGCGTTTGAGGGTATCATTGTTGAGTGGTCCCTGCAGCGTACCATTGCAAATATGTGATTGGAACAGTAGCAATTAAACGTATGATGCAACAAACACGTTTAAACAGCATTGTTGTCTGAAAAGCATCTAAACAATGTGTTGTACTGATGGGAAATAAAGGTCTTCCAACTTTATTCCTCAATTTCACCTTTTATTGTAAAAGATAAATGCGAACTTCATCATTCAAGCATAACATGGAACACATCCACAGCCAAACTCATTCCATAAACCAGTCTAAATAACAGGTTGCGCTGACAAAAAACTAAACATAAGTTAGCGACCTAACAGCTACACTTGTTTACAATGTACCACATCTCTGGTGAGCACAAGGGAGAAATGTAATATTGTTTAGGAAAGAGATGCGTGTAAGCTAAGCTAATAGCAACTAAATTCTTTATGATGGCAGCCATGTTTTGTTTGTTTGACAAGAGAAAACTCCCTAATCCCAGAATGCCATTCACTATGAGACGCAAATAAACAAAGTCAAAGTCAAAGATGGCTATGCCCATTGCCCGAAAAATATTAACTTAGTTTGGCCACTTTTCAACATATTACAAATCTTTGATGTACTTGTTACAGTGTATACAAGAACCGGAGCACATGACTTGACAATTCGTTTACAGTTTTTGACAAATAAGATACAATTTGATCCCCTCACAGATCATCACCTCAAATACAAGCCTACTGCTTAGCCTAACTGTAGCGTGAAAGCTAAACAGGGTTGCCAGATTTGGGTGAAACCATTTTAGGGGGGTTTGTGGGTGGGTTCATTTCATTTGTGGGGGATTTCAAGTCCATGGGGGGTAGAAATGGGGGACGGTATCGTGGGGGGATATGATGCAGGAAATATTACTATGATGGGGGACGTATCAATAAATGGGGGGAAAACACAGAAGAAGTTTATAAGCTAAACAATAGTTACAATCTAAGTCAGTCGAGTGAACCGTCCCTTCACCTCGTTTTGTTATAACATCTTTGGTCTCACAGACATTTACATGAAAACCAGAATGCATTGGATGATGTCAACAAACATGGCGCCACACATACAGTAGCTGGCATTTCGCTTAGCATTAGCTCATCATAATCAGTACAACCTTCCAAAAAGTATTTTACACACATCATATGTGTCCATTTCAATCATGATTTGTCACCAGTACTTGAAAACATGTGAATAAAACAGTAAATACATTATGCTCCATACATGCATACTGTACATACATACACTACCGTTCAAATGTCTGGGGTCACTTAGAAATGTCCTTGTTTTCGAAAGAAAAGCAAATTTTTTGTTCATTAAAATAACATCAAATTGATCAGAAATACAGTGTAGACATTGTTAATGTTGTAAATGGCTATTGTAGCTGGAAACGGCTGATTTTTAATGGAATGTCTACATAGGCGTACAGAGGCCTATTATCAGCAACCATCAGTCCTGTGTTCCATGAGGTAATTTACAGTTATTTTTTGCGCTCTCTTACCTAAAGAAATAGCACTACGCCACTGGTAGTGACTGGGTACAGTGGGGGAAAAAAGTATTTAGTCAGCCACCAATGGTGCAAGTTCTCCCACTTAAAAAGATGAGAGAGGCCTGTAATTTTCATCATAGGTACACGTCAACTATGACAGACAAAATGAGAAAAAAGAATCCAGAAAATCACATTGTAGGATTTGTTATGAATTTTTTTGCAAATTATGGTGGAAAATAAGTATTTGGTCAATAACAAAAGTTTCTCAATACTTTGTTATATACCCTTTGTTTGCAATGACACAGGTCAAACGTTTTCTGTAAGTCTTCACAAGGTTTTCACACACTGTTGCTGGTATTTTGGCCCATTCCTCCATGCAGATCTTCTCTAGAGCAGTGATGTTTTGGGGCTGTCGCTGGGCAACACGGACTTTCAACTCCCTCCAAAGATTTTCTATGGGGTTGAGATCTGGAGACTGGCTAGGCCACTCCAGGACCTTGAAATGCTTCTTACGAAGCCACTCCTTCGTTGCCCGGGCGGTGTGTTTGGGATCATTGTTATGCTGAAAGACCCAGCCACGTTTCATCTTCAATGCCCTTGCTGATGGAAGGAGGTTTTCACTCAAAATCTCACGATACATGGCCCCATTCATTCTTTCCTTTACACGGATCAGTCGTCCTGGTCCCTTTGCAGAAAAACAGCCCCAAAGCATGATGTTTCCACCCCCATGCTTCACAGTAGGTATGGTGTTCTTTGGATGCAACTCACCATTCTTTGTCCTCCAAACACGACGAGTTGAGTTTTTACCAAAAAGTTATATTTTGGTTTCATCTGACCATATGACATTCTCCCAATCCTCTTCTGGATCATCCAAATGAACTCTAGCAAACTTCAGACTGGCCTGGACATGTACTGGCTTAAGCAGGGGGACACATCTGGCACTGCAGGATTTGAGTCCCTGGCGGCATAGTGTGTTACTGATGGTAGGCTTTGTTACTTTGGTCCCAGCTCTCTGCAGGTCATTCACTAGGTCCCCCCGTGTGGTTCTGGGATTTTTGCTCACCGTTCTTGTGATCATTTTGACCCCACGGGGTGAGATCTTGCGTGGAGCCCCAGATCGAGGGAGATTATCATGTATGTCTTCCATTTCCTAATAATTGCTCCCACAGTTGATTTCTTCAAACCAAGCTGCTTACCTATTGCAGATTCAGTCTTCCCAGCCTGGTGCAGGTCTACAATTTTGTTTCTGGTGTCCTTTGACAGCTCTTTGGTCTTGGCCATAGTGGAGTTTGGAGTGTGACTGTTTGAGGTTGTGGACAGGTGTCTTTTATACTGATAACAAGTTCAAACAGGTGCCATTAATACAGGTAACGAGTGGAGGACAGAGGAGCCTCCTAAAGAAGAAGTTACAGGTCTGTGAGAGCCAGAAATCTTGCTTGTTTGTAGGTGACCAAATACTTATTTTCCACCATAATTTGCAAATAAATTCATTAAAAATCCTACAATGTGATTTTCTGGATTTTTTTTCCTCAATTTGTCTGTCATAGTTGACGTGTACCTATGATGAAAATTACAGGCCTCTCTCATCTTTTTAAGTGGGAGAACTTGCACAATTGGTGGCTGACTAAATACTTTTTTTCCCCACTGTATATTGATACACCATCCAAAGTGTAATTAATGACTTCACCATGTTCAAAGGGATATTCAATGTCTACTTTTATTTTATGTATTTTTACCAATAGGTGCCATTCTTTGCGAGGCATTGGAAAACCTCCCTGTTCTTTGTGGTTGAATCTATGTTTGAAATTCACTGCTCTACTGAGGGACCTTACAGATAATTGTATGTGTGGGGTACAGAGATGAGGTAGTCATTAAAAAAATCATGTTAAACACTATTATTGCACACAGAGTGAGTGCATGCAACTTATTATGTGACTTGTTAAGCACATTTGTACTCCTGAATTTATTTGGACTTGCCATATCAAAGGGGTTAAATACTTATTGACTCAAGACATCCCCCCTCCCCATTTTAATGAGTGAATGATTTTTTTATATTTTTGTTTTTTACATCATTTTACCCCTCACTCAGCAACTTCACTCCTACTCATCTCCAGTTCCACATTCCAACACTCCCTCAGCCCATCCCACCTATCTCTGCTGGCCACCCTCTTCGGATTTCTACGCACCATATACCTTTCAACCATGATGTAATGTCTAATATACAATTTGAATCTATCTAATCGAATAGAATCCACCAACTGCGAGTTGAAGATAAATACTTTTGCTAAGAGTATTAATATATTACCGATTGACTGACCAGGTCTCTCCAAATCTCCCAACAATGCTATTTCTAGGGTTAATTTTAGATACATTTTATGCATTTTCAGCCATTCCTGAACCTGAGACCAGAAGCAGGCTACCTGAGGGTAATACCAAAACAAATGGTCTATTCTGTATCCTCGAATCAAAATCTCCAGAGCTGTGATTGTTGTATGCCCCAAATATTCAACATTTTGTTTGTGGCTGTACAATAATTTCTGCTGAAAAGCATGAAGTGTTGAATCTTGCATCATTTTATACATCAGCTCATACACCCTATGCCATGTAAAAAATCTCTTCCCAGCTATTTTGCAATCTGTATGGCGCAGCTGTCAACATCCTGGTCCTCAAATGAAACTGGTATACTTTCCTATTTATGCTACTTTTATTTCTCCACCAGGTTTTATCCTTTATATTGGGCAGACAGACCAGTTCCCTGCCTCCTCCTACTGCCACTTGCCACCTCCATTTTTGGGGTAGTGCTATAATCAATTAGTTGTAATCTTGGATTGAGCAGACCTTTCCATACAGTTCCGATAGCTCCATGTAAGACATAACTGTACCATTCCAATTTACAATATCATTTAAAAACTAAATACCCTTCTCAAACATATTTTCCATAAATACAGGTATTTTATCAACCAGTACATTTAAGTTCAACCATCATATTTGTTCTGTCTTTTCCGGGGGATGAAATTGAAATTATAACCAGCTCTGTATCGCCTGTTTGAGAAAGAGCGATACTTTGAACAAGGTTTCATTTTCAATTAACAGTAATTGTCGTCTGATACTGACTTCAACTCCTTATTTAGAATTTCAGTTAGCTCACTGGCTTTCGGTGCTGACATGCAGAGTGTGGAATCATCTGCATACATTCTAGCTTTGTGTAAGACCAGTGGCAAATAATTTGTAAAAATAGAGAACATTTACGGCCAAAGGCAACTACCCTGAGGGACAGGGCATGTTAGAGAAGCTTCCATTGAGTTCTATGTACTTCCTCTCAGTACCTCCTCTGGGTTATATTGGATGAATAATTATCCAACCATGTGCTGGCAGGTGATATAAAGCCATATCAAGGGAGTTTTTTCATATAACAATTTATGATCAATAACATCAAAGGTTGCACTGAAATCTAACAATACGGCTCCAACTATCATCTTATGATCCATTTCTTTTAACCAATCATCCGTCATCTGAGCCAGTGCAGTTGAGTCTTTATATGCATGCTGAAAGTCCGTTGTTAGCTTGTTCTCTGAAAAATAGCATTGTATTTTGTCAAACACAATTCTCTTAATCAGTTTACTAAGAACTGGCAGCAAACTGATTGGGCGGCTGTTAGAGCCAGCAAAGGGTGCTTTACTATTTTTAGGCAGTGAACTTACTTTAGCTTCCTTCCATGCCTGTGGACACACACTCCTTTAGACTTGGTTAAAATATACAGTATATCAAATAGGGGTGGCAATACAGTCTGCTACCGTTCTCAATAGTTTCCCATCAAGGTTGTCTATACCTGGTGGCTTATCATTGTTGATGGGTAACACTAGTTTTTCCATCTCTCTCACACTAACTTGACCAAATTCAAAACAGCAATCCGTCTCTTTCATTATTAGATGTTTTATACAAGAATATGATGGTTCACTGTTCAGTGTTGTCATTTCACATCTGAGTTTTTCCACTTTACTAGTGAAATAGTCATTTAAATTATTTGCAATATAGAAAGGTTTGGTTATAAATTACCCATCAACTTCAATGAACGATGGCTATGAATTGGGTTTTCTGACCATGATATCATTTAAGGTACTCCAAAGTCTTTTCCCATTGTGTTTTATGTCATTTATCTTGGTTTGGTACACATTTTTTTCTATTTTTATTTTATTTTAGTCACAACATTTCTCAACTCACAGTATGTCAACCAATCAGCTGAGCAGCCTGACTTGTTTGCCAACTCTGCATAATTTTTTTAAACCATAAAATTGTTCAATTCATCATCAATCCAGGGGGGTCTAACAGTACCTCACAGTTAGTTTCTTAACAGGTGCATGTTGTCAACATTTGGCATTAATCATTTTACAAATACTTCCAGTGCTGCATCTGGATTCACGTCCTCATACACATCAGTCCAACATAAATGTTTTACATCTTCAACAAAAGAGTCCTGAGAAAACATTTTGTAGGATTTTTTAAATAAATTACTTTAGGGACAACCTTTCCTTGTTATTGCCACAATGTTATGGTCACTACAGCCAATGGGAACTGATATTGCTTTGGTGCAAAGCTCTGCAGCATTTGTGAAGATATGATCAATACAAGTGGATGTCACAGATCCAACACTATTGGTATGCATTCTAGTTGGTTGAGTGATAACCTGGGTCATATTACAGGCCTTAGTCACAGTTAGAAGCTTCCTCTTGAGAGGACAGCTTGTTCCTAACCAGTCAATGCTCAGGTCATCCAGAAAATAAACCTCTCTGTTAACATCACACACATTATGAAGCATTGCACACATATTATCAAAATACTGACTGCTAGCACTTGGTGGCCTATAGCGGCACCCCAAAAGAAGAGGCTTTAGATGATGCAGGTGACCTTGCAATCACAACACTTCAACAACATTTGACATGAGATCCTCTCTAAGCTTTACAGGAATATGGCTCTGAACATATACAGCAACACCTCCCCCATAGGCATTCCTGTCTTTTCTGTAGATTTGAGGGCCTTGTATTGCTACTGCTGTAACATCAAATTATCTTAGTGAGTTTCAGAGATGGCCAGTATATGAATGTTATTGGTTTCATGAACCTTATGTCTAAGGCTACATATATTCATATGGGCTACCTTTCATGTGTAGCTTATCGTAGATAGACATAATATGGAGAAGAACATAAAAGAAAAATACAAACATTGTTTGGCTAATAGAGTCGGTCAATCAGGCACTTGTGAGTGTCAGTTGGTGTTTGTGTTTGTGTGTGCTTGTGATGTTGGGCTGAAGCTACTGACCCGAAAGCTTGGCTCTCTCACTCCTCCCAGGCTTTTGGGAGGGAGGGTAGACAATGAGCTTGTCATAGCGGATGTAAGCATGTCCCCACGCTCTTTGGCAGCTTTCATATGGATTTTAGTAATTGTGTGTAAACATACATTTCACTGGAGATACATCTATTAAGCAAGTAATGTGGGTTGTGTTCATTAGGGCACACAATGGAAAAAGGTTTTAAACACAACGGAAAATGAAAATTTCTGATTGGACAAGTCCAGGTAGTAGTACCTCCCTGTTTCAGGCCCTTTTCTTCCGTTTTGTGCCTAATGAACATGACCCAGGTAATGTTTGTTTTCTGATGATGGATCAAGTGTCACACCCCTCCCAATCCCTAGTGTACCTCGGTTACTGTAGCCCCCAGGACTTGGCCTGGGTCCTAATTGGGTCCCATACAGGGGCCTCTGCAGTCTTCACCCAGTGAACCACAGCTCCATTTACATACCTTAATCCACCTAATCTGGTGCTGATCCCTTAAGGCATTAAACTGGAATTGTGTCACACCGACCCGGGTTCAGCGTTTTTGGGACAAGTTTAAACAGTCACTCTGTTTAAACACACACACACACACACAGGCATGGACAGACGCACACAGGCACATGCACACACACACACAAACACACACACACACACACTCCCTTTCATCTGCTGAAGAATGTGGTGCGTTTTTTCCATTTTATATAGTCCCCCCCTTTCTTTCTTTCTTTCTTTCTTTCTTTCTTTCTTTCTTTCTTTCTTTCTTTCTTTCTTTCTTTCTTTCTTTCTTTCTTTCTTTCTTTCTTTCTTTCTTTCTTTCTTTCTTTCTTTCTTTCTTTCTTTCTTTCTTTCTTTCTTTCTTTCTTTCTTTCTTTCTTTCTTTCTTTCTCTCTCTGTCTCTCTCTTTCTCTGTGTGTCTCTATCTCTCTCTCTCTCTCTCTCTCTCTCTCTCTCTCTCTCACTTCTTCACTTCTTCACTTAGGGGCAGATATCTCCTGTGATAATCTCATTCCCTTATTGACATACGCCCCACAGAGACCAGGCGGTGTGCTGCTTCCTGCTCTCCTCTTCTCATCTCCTCCCTCAAAAGCTATTTCCTCCCCTGCTTCCTTCCTCCCTCCCGCCTTCCAGCTGTTTCAGACTCGGCCATACACACACACACACATTTACATTTACATCATTTAGCAGACGCTCTTATCCAGAGCGACTTACACCCACACACATACATACACACTGACACTGTCATGTATGGCTTTGTTAGAAAAGAGAATGTGGGCTGATTTGAATAGAGTAGTTAGTGGGAGACATTGGGTGGCATGTGGCAAGTCGACAGCTGGTGAGGAATGACCTAAATTGCCTCAATGAATATCAAATGGATTTGAGTAATTGTGTGTAAAAATACATGTCACTGGAGATGAAACATTTTAAAAATGCAACGGAAAAACAAACATTTAAGGTTCTGATTGGAACAGTCCAGGTAGTAGTACCTCCCTGTTTCAGTCCATTTTCTGTACCTCTGTTACTGTAGCCCCCAAGACTTGGCCTGGGCCCTAACTGGGCCCCATACAGGGGTCTCTGCAGTCTTAACCCAGTGAACCACAGCCCCATTTAAATACCTTAATTCACCTAATCTGGTGCTGATCCCTTAAAGCAGTTGTTCCCAAACTGTGGGGCAGGCAGGGAGGGGCTCAGTCCGGCTTTCAATTTACTCTTGAAAGTTGTAATAGTAGAATGCACAAGGTGCAATTTTGAAATTGGGTAGTGCATCATCAGTTTTCCTCTTGTCATGTCAGTCATTGCATACCTTAGAGAGCTATTTATAACTTGTCAGAAATGTCCAGATCAGCCCATGTCAGCTAGTTTTTTTTGCCCATAGATTTTGTTGTAATGTTTGATACACATTAGACATGGCAAAATGTATATAATTGCAAGAAAATTAGCTTTAAAACTGCATAGAAATAGATGTTCCCCAATGCCTGAGTGAAAAGGTTTGGGAACCCCTGCCTTAAGGCATTCAACTGGAATTGTGTCACACCGACCCGGGTTCAGCGTTTTTGGGACAAGTTTAACCCTTTACACTCGTACGCGTATACCGGTTGAAAATGGCCGATTTGGGCACTAATAAGCTCCTAAATTGGAACGCAGTGGCTGTACAGTAACATGCTATACATAACGTCAGAGCTCAGGCTCTGTGCTTCACAGCCGTTCTGAACTTGAGCACCGCATGAAGATGCCCCCATCCCTCCCGGTAATTGTACAACTTTTGCAAATGTTTTGTTGTCTGAGTGAGGGAAATGCTGTAAATTAGGAGGACTTGATGTATTTTGAAATATGAGACGTTGAGGATTATAATAAATACCGCTTTGATGTCGTACAAACAAGCCAAACACCCATGAGTCCAAATGTGCAGTTCACGTTTTTCAAATCATAAAACTCATGTCATATACAGTGTCAATGTTTATGATCACTATGTTTGATGTACAGTTACAAGATGACATGGAGTCATACCCTGGGTTGTTCTGAACAGAATGAGCTTATGTTTGTTTGTTGTGAAGACAATTATCAGTTTCTCTGAATTGCCTTGTGAAAGCCTAACACTGTAAGATCGTATTTTATAACTTAGCTGGTCTTGTTGGCAAAAGAACAAGCTTTGAAGTCATGCCCACCTGACCCAGATTGTGATTTATAATGGACTGTTTTTGGATTGTGTAAAGAACAACAGTAACTGTGTGATGGTGGGGACGCAGGGTTGTGTTCCAAATAAAACAACTACAAGTGTGTTTGCTCTAGTACCTCAACGGCACAGCTAGGAGAGCTAAAGAAAAGTTCCTTATAGTTGAAGACTCTTCTTTGAGTCATAAAAGTGCATTGAAATTACTTAGGAACTGTGCATACTTTGGAGAGGTGTGTGGCCACTTGGAGACACCAGTTAGTCCTCTCACTCAAACCCTTGTCATTTTGTTGTCTTATGTTGCACCTACCCCACATTTTCCAGGAATAGTCTTATCATGTTACTACTGAATGTATTTTCAGATTTTGTTATAAACAAATGTGGCGAAAAGTACAGTCAATGTAAAATGCACATAAAATCAACAGTGTAATGTTTGGACTAATAATTTCCCCAATTATCTCATAACTGTTCCCATCTCAATTGCTACCATGGTTATGCATTTCATATTTCTTCTGTAAGAAACATTTCAATTGAACCCTATCCATAGAGGCCAATTCCAACACGTGTAAAAGGTTAAACAGTCACTCAGCGTCAGCCCCACACACACACACACACACACACACACACACACACGGACAGACACACAGAGGCACGCACGCACACACACAGCTCCCTTTCATCTGCTGAAGAATGTGGTGCGTTTTTCCCTCTTAACTCTAATGACTTTATTTCAAATGGCACCCTATTACCTATATAGTGCCCTACCTTTGACAAAGGCCCATAGGGCTCTGGTCAAAAGTAATGCACTAGGTAGGGAATAGTGTGTAATTTGGGACTCTACTTATGTTAACCTGGTAAGGATCAGGATCAAACTGTTGACCTGCTTTGAGAGGCATGTTGGGCAATACGCTGTAGTAGCTCACAGTAGTAGTGAAAGAAAGAAAGGCAGTCTTATGAGTCTTAGCTGTAGAGCTCCTGATCAAATTCCACTTACTGTATACAGACCTGCCTGCCAGTTTCTATATAACTCACCCACCCCACAGAAGCCTGGGCTAAGATCCCATTCCCATGGCCTTAAAGTAAAAGAGCAAACTATATAGTCAGACATACACAGACCTGGGATCAAATACTATTCTAAATCATTTCAAATCCTTTAGCTGGGCTTGATTGAGCTTGCCTGGTGCAATGCAACCAGTAGGATAGTAGAAAAAATGCAGACCACACCCATCTGGCAGTCCAGGCAGTCTAAAGCAAACGCTCAAAGTATATGAACGATTTCAAGTAGTATTTGAATACAATTCAGGATTTGTCCTCTAATTGCTGTTCCCTTGCTATACAGTGCGTTCGGAAAATATTCAGACCCCTTGACTTTTTCCACATTTTGTTACGTTACAGCCTTATTCTAAAATGGATTAAATCTGTTTTTTTTTCTCGCAAATCTACACACACTACCCCATAATGACAAAGCAAAAACCGTTTTTTATGAATTTGTGCTAATTTATAAAAATAAAAAACAGAAATATAACATTTACGTAAGTATTCAGACACTATACTCAGTACTTTGTTGAAGCACCTTTGGCAGCGATTACAGTCTTCTTGGGTATGACGCTACAAGCTTGGCACACCTGTATTTGGGGAGTTTCTCACATTCTTCTCTGCAGATCCTCTCAAGCTCTGTCAGGTTGGATGGGGAGCGTCGCTGCACAGCTATTTTCAGGTCTCTCCAGAGATGTTCGATCGGGTTCAAGTCCGGGCTCTGGCTGGGCCACTCAAGGACATTCAGAGACTTGTCCTGAAGCCACTCCTGCATTGTCTTGACTGTGTGCATAGGGTGGTTGTCCTGTTGGAAGGTGAACCTTCACCCCAGTCTGAGGTCCTGAGCGCTCTAGAGCAGGTTTTCATCAAGGATCTCTCTGTACTTTGCTCTGTTAATCTTTCCCTCGATCCTGACTAGACACCCATTCCCTGCCACTGAAAAACATCCCCACAGCATGATGCTGCCACCACCATGCTTCACCGTAGGGATGGTGCCAGGTTTCCTCCAGACGTGACGCTTGGCATTCAGGCCAAAGAGTTCAATCTTGGTTTCATCAGACCAGAGAATCTTGTTTCTCATGGTCTTAGAGTCATTTAGGTGCCTTTTGGCAAACTCAGAGCGGGCTGTCATGTGCCTTTTACTGAGGAGTGGCTTCCTTTTGGCCACTCTACCATAAAGGCCTGATTGGTGGAGTGCTGCAGAGATGGTTGTCCTTCTGGAACGTTCTCCCATCTCCACAGAGTAACTCTGTAGCTCTGTCAGAGTGACCATCGGGTTCTTGGTCACCTCCCTGACCAAGGCCTTTCTCCCCCGATTGCCAGGCGGCCAGCTCTAGGAAGAGTCGTGGAGGTTCCAAACTTCTTCCATTTAAGAATGATGGAGGCCACTGTATTTTTGGGGACCTTCAATGCTGCAGAAATGTTTGGGTACTCTTCCCAATATCTGTGCCTCGACACAATCCTGTCTCAGATCTCTACGGACAATTCCTTCGACCTCATGGCTTGGTTTTTGCTTTGACATGCACTGTCAACTGTGGGACCTTATATAGACAGGTGTGTACCTTTCCAAATCATGTCCAATCAATTGAAATTACCACAGGTGGACTCCAGTCAAGTTGTAGAAACATCTCAAGGATGATAAATGGAAACAGGATGCACCTGAGCTCAGTTTCGAGTCTCATAGCAAAGGGTCTCAATACTTATGTAAATAAGGTATTTCAGTTTTTTATTTTTAATACATTTGCTAAAATTTCTAAAAACCTGTTTTCACTTTGTCATTATGGGGTATTGTGTGTAGATTGATGAGGGAAAAAAATTATGTAATCCATTTTAGAATAATGCTGTAAAGTCATGGGGTCTGAATAGCATTTCAGACTGAAGACAAGTATGCTAATGCCTTTGAAATTCAAATTAGAAAAATGCTTCATTGGCATGAAACAAATTTGGATTATTATCTCCTGAGACTAGTTTAAATGGAAATCAATTTGAGCATTAAAATAATGGCTCACACTCACACTCTCTCTCTCTCTCTCTCTCTCTCTCTCTCTCTCTCTCTGTCTCTCTCTCTCTCTCTCTCTCTCTCTCTCTCTCTCTCTCTCTTTCCCTCTCTCCCTATTACAGAGATTGAGGATATGTCCCCCAGTCAGTCCCGGGTCTTCACAGCAGACACCATGCAGCGTGTGTCCTGTCGGGCCCCGCATGGAAAGCCCCTGCCTGAGGTGTGGTGGGAGCGGGAAGGGGTGCGTGTCCCCACGGAGGGCCGGGTGTACCAGGAGGGCAGTGAGCTGGTTTTCAGCCCCACCGAGCAGGGCGACTCAGGCTCCTACACCTGCGTGGCCCAAAACAAGGCAGGCCGCAAGACCCAGGAGCTGACCTTCACAGTGGCCAGTGAGTCAGGCCACCGTCTTCTGACCTATTACATCATGGCTAGGGCAGGAGTGTGTCCTGACCATGCAAAACTCTGGTCCCTATTATAGGGTTGTACTTTAGTCATGACTGGTCCATTCTGTTCCAAAGCAAGGGGTCAATTTGGGATTCAGCATGATTGACACTGGCTTCTACTACACTAATCATTCTTAATTTGTGTATGTGATTCAGCTGCCCCAGTGTGGGTAACCAAGCCCCAGGACAGCTACCTGGAGGAGGGACGACCAGGCTACCTCCACTGCCACGCTCAGGCTACCCCTGAGCCTGAGGTCACCTGGCTCCGAAACAACATTATGGTCATGCCTGAGGTCAGTATCGCTCTGTCTCTCTCTCTCTTTCTCTTTCTATCACACACAGATGCAGGCGTGCACACACACACACACATACAAACACTGTATCTAGGCCATTCCTCTCCATTCTCTTACCCTTCTCCCTCTCTTCTCTATCAGGACTCACGCTTTACCGTGTTCCCCAACGGTACTCTGCGCATCAATAATGTGGAGGTGTATGATGGTCAGATGTATGCCTGTGAGAGCAGGACAGAGGGAGGCAGGCTGTCTGGACACGCCAGAGTCTATGTACTGGGTGAGCTGAAACTACATGGTGTGTGTGTGAGTGTGTGTGTGTGTGTGTGTGTGTGTGTGTGTGTGTGCGTACGCGTGCGCACGCGTGCGCATGGGAGACAGCGTGTGTGTGATGTGATCAGCCAGTTTAAGTTTAACCTTAGATTTCCCTCTGGTGCTGCAGTTCTAGAGTTGTTAACATGGATTATCTAATTCCTGACTTGCTTTGTCTACCTTGTCTTTGTTTTGGTGATGTAAGATCCTGATACCCTTGTGATTCTTAATTCAGCCATGTGAATGTTTGTGCTTGCATCTGCATGTTCTTAAACGTGTCTGAACATGCTGTAAATAGCTTTGTATAGTGTACCATGGGGTGACCAGGCTACTCTCTCTTAGCTGTGTGTGTAATGGTGTGTTTGACCTTTGACCTGTGTTCCAGAGAAACTGAAGTTCACCCCTACGCCCCAGCCGACCCAGTGCCTGGAACTGGACAAGGAGGTCAACATCCAGTGCTCTGCCACAGGCAGAGAGACCCCCACCATCAAATGGACCAAAGCAGGTGAGTGCAGGGTGGTCCTACTCAGTGCTAGAGCACAATATCCTAGATGCCATTTCCTGCCATTGTGCCCTTGAGCAAGGCACTTAACCCTTAAACTGCTCCAGGGGCGCAGCACTGAGACTGGCCCCGTGTTCCAACCTCTCTGTGGGTGTGTATAGGTGTGTTTAGAGGGGTTGGGATAAAGCCATTGTCACAGGTCACAGAAATAAAAAAGACAAGTCTCTGTCCTGTGACAATAGACAATAAAATCTTCTTATAACATCAGGTTATGGATTATGTTAGAAAACATAATCATTACAGAAGGAATGCATTGTAGATAGAATCTGATGAATGAAATGTGAAGACAAGATTACATATGATAATTTCCCCTCATTTGCAATTGCCTATGTTAGAGGAGATTACTTCATCCATTTAAGGTTGGGCAATGTCAAACTTTGTCCTATTGTGATTATGTACCCATAAAACATTGTGATATACGTACGATGCTATCGCCCCTATTGGTTATAGGCCTACATTATGGGCTGCATAGAAGCAGTCTACCGTCTTTAGAACCTGATAATAATTGCTTTATTTGCCTCATAAAATAATAGAAAAATAAATCATATTGTTTGTTCTATCTCTCGTAAAGCTGTGATTGAGAATAGCCTATGCCAAGGCTTAGGCTATAGACATTCATTCGTGTTATTGTTGAAAGCCACAACAACTTCATAGGCTAGAATATTTGGGAAATAAGATACTGCCCTACAAAGGCAAAACGGAGTAACTACGAATTTGGTCAAAAATCTTTGATCTGTTGGAATGGCCAGGTATATTATCTGATGAATGTGGTATTTAGTTTCCTGACACAAGAACAAGCCAGTTGATCAGAATATATCATGGAGTATCAGAAATTGCTGTCTGTCTAGACAGAAAAATACTTTGAAAGTCAGATTTTGCAGTAAAACACGTTATGTAATTTGACTTTAACTTGTATGATAGGCCTAGAAGAAGCATAGGTTATAGGCCATTTGGTTTTCTACCTGTCATGTGAGGATTTTCCCTCTCTCTCATTAGTAGTCATCTAGCTACCTTTTTAGGCTTTCAAATCACTTTTTGAGATGGAACTCCGTTACATTCATTGTTTGATTGGGATGCGTAAAACGATGAAGCGTAGCCTTCAGTCATATTCATAGCCTATCGAATGGAGAGAGAAAGGAATATTGGCTATGTTTTTTAAAACAGATAGACAGAAGTGAAGGAGTGTCGATTATTTAAAAAATATATACGTTTATGCTATAGCCTAATGCCCATGAATCCGACAGAGAGAGAGAAATAATATTTTATGACTGGACATTTTTGCGCTGCTTTGGTGGAATTCTCCGCTCTGTCTGGCCTACATTACCCTCTGGCGTTCTGTAGGCTATGTAACATATCTATTGAAATAGGCTATAGCAAATAGGAATAGGGAAATTTGTTGGAATGTCACTTGTGTACTGCCTTGCTGTACGCTGCGAGTCTCCGTATTTTACTGTGCAGCTCCAGTATAGTTCAAATAGGCTAAACCATCGTCTTTCACATCAATTAGTCGTCACCATCGACGATGGCTGTCAATCATTGTCGATAGACGATGCTATCGTAATATCGCCCAACCCCTACATCCATTACACTCATAACCTTTTCACACTACTGAGCCGAGCTGTACTGCGCTGGCCTGGTTACACATCCACCACAGTTGCACTGGAAAGGACCATGTGAAAGGAACATATCCGAGCCAGCCAAGTACAGTTTGGGACAGCACCATAGTGGGAAAAGGGTATCACAGTACTGTAGTTTCTCAGCCCCCCGTTGAGCTCCTCTCTGACACTGTCGCCCCGTACAGACGGTGGAGAGCTGCTTCCTCATGTAGAGATAAGGAATAGCCAGCTCCACTTCACCAAAGTGACGCGCAGCGACGCAGGAAACTACACCTGTATCGCCTCCAACAGCCTACAGGGGGAGATCAGAGCCATGGTCAGCCTCACTGTGGCAGGTAGGTGTGTGTGTGTGTGGGGTTTTTTGTGCGTGTGTGTACTTTTGTGTGTGTGCGTTTGAGTATGTGTGCATTTGAGTGTGTGTGTGTTTGATGAACTGTAGTTCACTTTGTATTTTCATTTGCAAAAGCAAAAGAAACTGTGCACAGAAGTGTGTCTAGAGGAGATCCAGGTGCTGGTTTTGGCTGGAGCAACTAGTTGATGACTGACCTTGGCTTCAATCAATTTTATTTATTTATAAAAGTCATGCACCTTGCAATGAAAAATGTAAAAAGTCACGGACATTCGTCTACTGGTGTGCGTTTTTTTACACTAGTTTTAGGTTTGTATAATCGTTACCGTCCTAATCATAATGGCAATCCTTTGAGAGTACTGTTTGTTTCTTGTCTTAGTTGATGCACTGTTTATAATCAGCTTTCCAATGACCAATTATCCATGTGGTTGTGTAGTCTATTTCATTAATTCATGCATTAGAAGGCCATCTGGCTGCCATGTAATGAACTCCATTAGGTGTTGAAGACACTTGTGGTTGACACAAAGAAAGCCCACCACAATGTAGAGCTAGCTGTATGATATGGACAAAAATCCATGTTGCGATAAATTGCCTGAATTGATGCGATAATGATAAATAGAACGATAAGTTTATAACATTAATGTGCACCACAGTTTTCTTTGAAATTATCCTTTAAACAACTACTACTACCAATTTGATGGTTGTAGACATCAACTGTCCCATTAATAATCACCCATATTAGCAAAAGTATTTCATTTTCTAACTTAACATTTCTCTAGAATAGGCTACTTATCGTAATGAACAATATCAGCAAAATGACTGTGATAAGTGATCGGTATGGTCGGTGTCGATCATTTTCGGTTTATCGTCCCAGCTCTACCACAATGTCACCACAGTGAATCTGTAGGAAATCAGTTTCCTGAACTATGTTTGGCGATGGAGTGTGGTATATTAACTGTGGTGTGTGTGTGTAGTGTATATCCGCTTTAAGCTGGAGCCAGAGTACACCACAGTCTACCAGGGCCACACAGCCGTCCTACACTGCCAGGCCACAGCAGACCCTGAGCCACACATCCAGTGGATGGTCAAGGATAAGGTGCTGGACACCAGCAGGAGAAGGTAAGGCTTTACACACAGAGACAATAATAACACACACACAACAACGTTGTCTTTGTTAGTGGTGCTGGGAATAAAAAAGCACTGGATTGTATTGACACCAGTTGTTACATAACGTATCTTTGTGTATGTTTTGGAAAATCAATAAAAAAGTGTAATGGAAAAAAATTAGATAGTCTTTAACTTGAAACATCAACAAATAAAGATGCAGAGCTGAAAATCAAATCAAATCAAATTGTATTTGCCACATGCGCCGAATACAACAGGTGTAGACCTTACAGTGAAATGCTTACTTACAAGCCCTTAACCAACAATGCAGTTTTAAGAAAAAAAAGTGTAACAGTAGGGAGGCTATATACACGGGGTACCGGTACAGAGTCAATGTGCGGGGGCACCGGTTAGTCGAGGTAATTGAGGTAATATGTACATGTGGGTAGAGTTAAAGTGACTATGCATAGATAATAAACAGAGTAGCAGCAGCGTAAAAGAGGGGGTGGGGTGGGGTGGGGGGGGGGGACAATGCAAATAGTCCGGGTAGCCATGATTAGCTGTTCAGAAGTCTTATGGCTTGGGGGTAGAAGTTGTTAAGAAGCCTTTTGGTCCGCTTTCCATGCAGTAGCAGAGAGAACAGTCTATGACTAGGGTGGCTGGAGTGTTTTACCATTTTTAGGGCCTTCCTCTGACACCGCCTGGTATAGAGGTCCTGGATGGCAGGAAGCTTGGTCGAGCAGTTGCCATACCAGGCGGTGATGCAACCAGTCAGGATGCGCTCAATGATGCAGCTGTATAACTTTTTAAGGATCTGAGGACCCATGCCAAATCTTTTCAGTCTCCTGAGGGGGAATAGGCTTTGTCGTGCCCTCTGTTCACGACTGTCTTGGTGTGTTTGGACCATGATAGTTTGTTGGGGATGTGGACACCAAGGAACTTGAAGCTCTAAACCTGTTCCACTACAGCCCCGTCGATGAGAATGGGGGCGTGCTCAGTCCACAATCATCTCCTTTGTCTTGATCACGTTGAGGGAGAGGTTGTTATCCTGGCACCACACGGCCAGGTCTCTGACCTCCTCCCTATATGCTGTCTCATTGTTGTTGGTGATCAGGCCTACCACTGTTGTGTCGTCAGCAAACTTAATGATGGTGTTTGAGTCGTGCCTGGCCATGCAGTCATGGGTGAACAGGAGGGGACTGAGCACGCACCCCTGAGGGGCCCCCGTGTTGAGGATCAGCGTGGCAGATGTGTTGTTACCTATCCTTACCACCTGGGGGCAGCCCACCAGGAAGTCCAGGATCCAGTTGCAGATGGATGTGTTTAGTCCCAGGGTCCTTAGCTTAGTGATGAGCTTTGATGGCACTATGGTGTTGAACGCTGAGCTGTAGTCAATGAATAGCATTCTCACGTAGGTGTTCCTCTTGTCCAGGTGGGAAAGGGCAGTGTGGAGTGCAATAGAGATTGCATAATCTGTGGATCTGTTGGGGCAGTATGCAAATTTGAGTGGGTCTAGGGTTTCTGGGATAATGGTGTTGATGTGAGCCATGACCAGCCTTTCAAAGCACTTCATGGCTACAGGGCCAGACTGATTACATCCTGGTAATCCGTCTGGCCCTGCGGCATTGTGAATTTTGACCTGCTTAAAAGTCTTACTCACATTGGCTACGGAGAGCGTGATCACATAGTCATCCGGAACAGCTGATGCTCTCATGCATGCTTCAGTGTTGCTTGCCTCAAAGCGAGCATAGAAGTGATTTAGCTCGTCTGGTAGGCTCGTGTCACTGGGCAGCTTGCGGCTGTGCTTTCCTTTGTAGTCTGTAATAGTTTGCAAGCCCTGCCACAATGTGAAATGATAGACAGTGCACACAGAGGCGACTCTTGGATACTATTTACAGTACAGACAGTCTGCAGGGTGTCATGTAAAAATCTTCCCAGTGTGAAATAGTTCCCAATTGTTCTGATTGTGTTTTGATTGTGACGTCATGCTGTAAAATTTCTCCCAGCGTGAAAATGTACCCAGTTCAATAATTGCACGTGGATCTCTTTATGTGGATGGCTGAGCTTGTGCAGTTGTGTCTCTCACACCCTCCCTTGACCTCAAAAAACTGTTCTGTGGGCACGCGCATTTGCTTCACAGACCTGCCAATCAATGGTGGCCAGGAGTATTGACACTGACCAATCAGAAGCTTGTTGAGGCATGTTGAGGTCAGCAAATAAACACCCGGACTCACGCTGGGAAGATTTTTACATGACACAGGGAACTGGACAATCATTTTCCATGATAGCTTTCAGGAATCAATCAGTAACAGACATTGAAGGAGTCACTTGATGTCAAATAAATAATCAAATCAAATTGTATTAGTCACATGCTTCATAAACAACAGGTGTAGACTAACAGTGAAATGCTTACTTACGGGTCTTTTTCTAACAATGCAGAGTTACAGATAAAACTATAAATAAATACACAGTGAATAATGAATAACAATAACAAGTAAAAAATAACATGGCTATATACAGGGAGTACCAGTACCGAGTCAATGTGCAGGGGTACGAGGTAATTGAGGTAGCTATGTACATATAGGTAGGGGTAAAGTGACTAGGCAGGATAGATAATAGACAGTAGTAGCAGCGTATGTGATGAGTGTGAAAGTGTGTGTGAATGTGTGTGTGGCGTCAGTATGCACATGTTATGTGTGTGTGGGCGTATGTGGTGTGTGTGTGTGTGTGTTGGGGTGTGTGTGTGTGTGTTGGGGTGTCAGTGTAAGTACAGTTGAAGTCGGAAGTTTACATACACCTTAGCCAAATACATTTAAACTCAGTTTTTCACAATTCCTGACATTTAATCCTAGTAAAAATTCCATGTCTTAAGTCAGTTAGGATCACCACTTTATTTTAAGAATGTGAAATGTCATAATAATAGTAGAAAGAATGATTTATTTCAGCTTTTATTTATTTCATCACATTCCCAGTGGGTCAGAAGTTTACATACAATCAATTAGTATTAGGTAGCATTGCCTTTAAATTGTTTAACTTGGGTCAAACGTGTCGGTAGCCTTCCACAAGCTTCCCACAATAAGTTGGGTGAATTTTGGCCCATTCCTTCTGACAGAGCTGGTGTAACTGAGTCAGGTTTGTAGGCCTCCTTGCTCGCACACGCTTTTTCAGTTCTGCCCACAAATTTTCTATAGGGTTGAGGTCAGGACTTTGTGATGGCCACTCCAATATCTTGACTTTATTGTCCTTAAGCCATTTTGCCACAACTTTGGAAGTATGCTTGGGGTCATTTGTCCATTTGGAAGACCCATTTGCGACCAAGCTTTTAACTTCCTGACTGATGTCTTGAGATGTTGCTTCAATATATCCACATCATTTTCCTTCCTCATGATGCCATCTATTTTGTGAAGTGCACCAGTCCCTCCTGCAGCAAAGCATCCCCACAGCATGATGCCAAACAGTCATTATGGCCAAACAGTTCATTATGGCCAAACAGTTCTATTTTTGTTTCATCAGACCAGAGGACATTTCTCTAAAAAGTACGATCTTTGTCCCCATGTGCAGTTGCAAACCGTAGTCTGGCTTTTTTATGGCGGTTTTGGAGCAGTGGCTTCTTCCTTGCTGAGCGGCCTTTCAGGTTATGTCGATATAGGACTTGTTTTACTGTGGATATAGATACTTTTGTACCTGTTTCCTCCAGCATCTTCACAAGGTCCTTTGCTGTTGTTCTGGAATTGATTTTCACTTTTCGCACCAAGGTACGTTCATCTCTAGGAGACAGAACGCGTCTCCTTCCTGAGCGGTATGACGGCTGCGTGGTCCCATGGTGTTTATACTTGCGTACTATTGTTTGTACAGATGAACGTGGTACCTTCAGGCGTTTTGAAATTGCTCCCAAGGATGAACCAGACTTGTGGAGGTCTACAATTTTTGTTCTGAGGTCTTGGCTGATATCTTTTGACTTTCCCATGATGTCAAGCAAAGAGCAAAGTGGAATTTTCCAATCTGTTTAAAGGCACAGTCAACTTAGTGTATGTAAACTTCTGATCCACTGGAATTGTGATACAGTGAATTATAAGTGAAATAATCTGTCTGTAAGCAATAGTTGGAAAAATTACTTGTGTCATGCACAAAGTAGCTGTCCTAACCGACTTGCCAAAACTATAGTTTGTTAACAAGAAATTTGTGGAGTGGTTGAAAAACGAGTTTTAATGACTCCAACCTAAGTGTATGTAAACTTCTGACTTCAACTGTATGTGTCAGTGTGTGGGTAGAGTCCAGTGTGTGTGTGCATAGAGTCAGTGGAAGAGAGTTAATGCAAAAAAGGGTAAATGCAGGTAGTCCGGGTAGCCATTTGATTAGCTATTTAATAGTCTTGTTTAGCAGTCTTATGGCTTGGGGGTAGAAGCTGTTCAGGGTCCTATTGGTTCAAGACTTGGTGCACTGCTACCGCTTGCCGTGCGGTAGCAGAGAGAATAGTCTATGGCTCGGGTGGCTGGGGTTTTAAAAAAAAATTGGGATTTCATCTGACACTGCTTGGTATCAGAGTATGTGAGCGGAGTTGAGCGGTCGGAAATCCCGTTCACCGCTCCGGCGCTCCACGTCATTTCCAACCGCTCCACTAAAAAACGCTCCTCACTCACAGAAAAAAAAACTGCCGATCCAAATTCGCTCCATTCATTAAAATCACAATTTAACCAACACCCATGTATTTTTGTGACTACCTGGACCTACCATTTGGGTTTGAACTATTGAAACCAAACCATATGATTAGAATGAAAAGTAGATTAATAAACAACTGTGATGAGTCCTGAGGATACGAAGAGGCAGGACACAGACGCAGGAATCAACAATGTAAAGGTTTCCTTAACACTGAGCAAGAGAACAACAAAGAGCGAGTACACAAACAATCACACACAACACAACACTGAACAGTCCAGGGCTATATAGGGGTGGTGATGAGATGATGAGGTGCAGGTGCGCTGGAGGTGATTAGGGTGCGTTGGGTTTCCATTCCGGTGTTGCCGAGGTGGTGCGCTCAGACCGGTGGCTCAGTAGACCGGCGAATCAGAGCGCAGGGGGGGAGCTACGGGAGGAGACGTGACAACAACATGAAAAGGTGACTGTAAGAAGCGCTCATCATTTCAAATAGGCTACATGTAGTATTAAACAGCATATAAACACTCTGAATAGGTCAGGAGCCAGACAAGAAGTAACGGAAATTAATTATTTAGGCTATATTATTTCAAGGCTATAGCCTACAAATAAATAAATTGTAAAGCATTTGCGAGTGCGACACACTAGGATGGACATTAAGTGCTCAGCATTTAAACAACATGTAATTGAATCATTATAGTCTATACATTGCGCATATAGGCTGTGACTTAGAAATAAATACAAATTAAACAAAAAAATGCCTTATTAGGCTCAGTGCCTTTTGAATTCATTTTAAAAAACATGAATTTGGCCAGAGTCTGTAGCTTCAGGCTCATGCGATGGTGCATGGAGAGCAGGCCAGCAGCGGAGAATACCCTCTCCGTGCTTGCAGAGCGACTGAACACCCTTCGGGCCACTCTTGCAAGGCTGGGCAGGGATGCAGAGTTGTTTTAGTTTTGTTCTATAGGTAGCCCTAAAGGTTTTTAGGCAAAATAACCTTATCAAAACGGAAAGCTCCTTGAAAGAGGTAATATTTCTGGCCTATTGGGCCAAAATCAATGATAGCCTATTGTATAGATAATAGAACGAAAATGATTTTCTGTTTATAAGTACTTTGCTACAATGACACACTTACTTAGCTACCCACCTCATTACTTTCTGTTAGCATGTGCACATAGTAAGTACACCATCATGCTTTCAGGATACGTGTCTTTTCAGATTCCACAATGATTCTTTACCACACTCCCTCTCTTGCTCTTGGTCCCCCTTATCTTCATAAGTCATCTTGATTTTGCACCTGTGTGTTTTATCAGTTTCTCTATAAAAAATATTTAGCAAACTCCATGACAGTAGCTAAAGCAAGGGGCTATAGCAGCACAAAAGTAGACTACCAATGCATGCTGGGCCGGGCATGCCCTGAGCTCATGAAGTGAGAACTACTTGGAGCGCTACTGGAGCGGGCGAGAAGGCCGATGCTCCAGCCTTTGGGAAACTCGCACTACGCTCCAGTCAAATTGGGCACGCTCCACTCCAGCTCCGCTCCGCTCACATACTCTGCTTGGTATAGAGGTCCTGGATGGCAGGGAGCTCGGCCCCAGGGATGTACTGGGCCGTACTCACCAACCTCTGTAGGGCTTTGCTGTCGGGTGCCTTGCAGTTGCCATACCAAGCGGTGATGCACCCAGTTAAGATGCTCTCAATGCTGCAGCTGTATAATGCTTTGGGGATCTGATAGCCCATGCCAAATCTTTTCAGCCTCCTGAGGGGGAAGAGGTGATGCCGTGCCCTCTTCACAACTGTGTGGGTGTGTGTGGACCATGTCAATTCCATAGTGATGTGGACACTGAGGAACTTGAAGCTCTCGACCTGCTCCACTACAGCCACATTGACGTGGAAGGGGGCGAGCTCGCCCCTCCATTTCCTGTAGTCCACGATCAGCTCCTTTGTCTTGCTGATGTTAAGGGAGTTTCCAGGTATCTGACCTCCTCCCTAAACTCGTAGAAAAAAAGATGCTATCTAGAACGAAAAAGGGTTATTTGGCTGTCCCCATGGGAGAACCCTTTGAAGAACCCCTTTTAGTTTCAGATAGAACCATGTTGCTTCCAGGTAGAACCATTTTGGGTTCTACATGGAACCCAAAATAGTTTTACCTGGAACGGAAAAGGGTTATCCTATGGGGACAGCCACAGAAAACTTTCTAAGAGTGTTTAGGCTGCCTCATTGTCGTCGGTGATCAGTCCTACCACCGTTGCCAGCAAACTTGATGATGGTGTTGGAGTCATGTGCGGCCACACAGTCGTGGGTGAACAGGGGACTAAGCACACACCCTTGAGGGGCCCCCGTGTTGACAGTAAGTGTGGCGGATGTGTGGTTGCCTACTCTCAACGCCTGGGGGCGGCCCATCAGGATGTCCAGGATCCAGTTACAGAGGGAGGTGTTCAGTCCCAGGGTCCTTAGCTTGGTGATGAGCTTGGAGGGGACTACGGTGTTGAATGCTGTGCTGTAGTCAATGAACAGCATTGTGGACACCTGCTCGTCGAACATCTCATTCCAAAATCATGGGCATTGGTATGGAGTTGGTCCCCCCTTTTCTTCTATAACAGCATCCACTCTTCTGGGAAGGCTTTCCACTAGATGTTGGAAGATTGCTGCGGGGACTTGCTTCTGTTCAGCCACAAGAGCATTAGTGAGGTCGGGCACTGATGTTGGGCGATTAGGCCTGGCTCGCAGTCAGTGTTTCAATTCATCCCAAAGGTGTTCGATGGGGTTGAGGTCAGGGCTCTGTGCAGTCCAGTCAGGTTGTTCCACACCGATCTCGACAAATCATTTCTGTATGAACCTCGCTTTGAGCACGGGGGCATTGTCATGCTGAAACAGGAAAGGGCCTTCCCCAAACTGTTGCCACGAAGTTGAAAGCACAGAATCGTCTAGAATGTCATTGTATGCTGTAGCGTTAAGATTTCCCTTTACTGGAGCTAAGGGGCCTAGCCCAAACCATGAAAAACAGCCCCAGACCATTATTCCTCCTCCACCAAACTTTACAGTTGGCACTATGCATTCGGGCAGGTAGCGTTCTCCTGGCGTCCACCAAACCCAGATTCGTCTGTCAGACTACCAGATGGTGAAGCGTGACTCATCACTCCAGAGAATGCGTTTCCACTGCTCCAGTCGCGCTTGGCATTGTGCATGGTGTTCTTAGGCTTGTGTACGGCTGCTCGGCCATGGAAACGCATTTAATGAAGCTTCTGACGAACTGTTCTTGTGCTGATGTTGCTTCCAGAGGCAGTTTGGAACTCGGTAGTGTGTGTTGCAACCAAGGACAGACGATTTTTACGCACTTCAGCACTCAGCGCTCCGTTTCTGTGAGCTTGTGTGGCCTACCGATACGCGGCTGAGCTGTTGTTGCTCCTAGACGTTTCCACTTCATAATAATAGCACTTACAGTTGACCGGGGCAGCTCTAGCAGGGCAGGAATTTGACGAACTGACTTGTTGGAAAGGTGGCATCCTATGACGGTGCCACGTTGAAAGTCACTGAGCTCTTCAGTAAGGCCATTCTACTGCCAATGTTTGTCTATGGAGATTGCAAATATAGTGTATATTTTGAAGGCCATTCTTGTGTTTCGAAAGGAGGGAATCAATAGAACAAAGTTTATCTTTATTTCACGCTCTTTCTTTCTGTCTTTCATTCTCTCACTTTCCCTTTATTCTCTTTCGATTTCTCTCTCTTTCTCTCTCTCCTTCTCACTCTATCACTCTTTTTCTATATCACTCTCTCTCTCTTTCTATCCCCCACCCCCACCCCTTCTCTCTCTTTCTCTCTCAGGTTCCAGTTAATGCTAAATGGCTCTCTGGTGATAACTGACGTCACCACGGACGACACGGGCAAATACACCTGCATTGCCGGAAACAGCTGCAGCATCAGTGACCGTGTGGCACAGCTCTACGTAGTGGGTGAGTCTCTCTCTCTCTCTCTCTCGCTCTCTCTCTCTCTCTCTCTCTCTCTCTCTCTCTCATACAGATGCACACACATATACACACACGGCTGAAACAGGATGCCACCGTCACCATATTACTGTGTGTGTGTGTGTGTATGTTTGTGTGCGTGAGTAGCAATCACGAGGACTGGATGGGGACTGTAATTAACCACTCAGTCATCTGACCATTCTAATAACCTGTGATGCCAGGGTCATCAGTGAGGTGACAAGGACAGACCTTAGATTGAATCAACCCTCTTTCACACACACCGTGGCTCCTTGTGCTTGGCTTGTAATTTGAAATAGGATGATCAGGGTTTCGTATTATTCAAACCTCTCCCTGTGAGGAGTTAAGGGAGGCAGACGGTTTAGTTAGCAGAAGTAGTTAATTGTAGGACAGAGGAATTCATTCAGCGTTTTCAAATCAAAATCAAATCAAATGTTATTTGTCACATGCGCCGAATACAACCGGTGTAGACCTTACAGTGAAATGCTTACTTACAAGCCCTTAACCAACAATGCAGTTTTAAGAAAGAATACCCCCCCCCAAAAAGTAACAAATAATTAAAGAGCAGCAGTAACATAACAATAGTACAATAATAATAGTGAGGCTATATACAGGGGGTACCGGCACAGAGTCAATGTGCGGGGGCACCGGTTAGTCGAGGTAATTGAGGTAATATGTACATGTACAGTGCCTTGCAAAAGTATTCATCCCCCTTGGCGTTTTTCCTATTTTGTTGCATTACAACCTGTCATTTAAATGGATTTTTGTTTGGATTTCATGTAATGGACATACACAAAATAGCCCAAATTGGTGAAGTGAAATGAAAAAAATAACTTGTTTCAAAAAATTAGACTAAATAAATAACGGAAAGGTGGTGCGTGCATATGAATTCACCCCCTTTGCTATGAAGCCCCTAAATAAGATCTGGTGCAACCAATTACCTTCACATAATGAGTTAGATTGCACACAGGTGGACTTTATTTAAGTGTCACATGATCTATCGATCTCAGTATATATATACACCTGTTCTGAAAGGCCCCAGAGTCTGCAACACCACTAAGCAAGGGGCATCACCAAGCGGCACCATGAAGACCAAGGAGCTCTGCAAACAGGTCAGGGACAAAGTTGTGGAGAAGTACAGATCAGGGTTGGGTTATAAAAAAATATCAGAAACTTTGAACATCCCACGGAGCACCATTTAAATCCATTATTAAAAAATGGAAAGAATATGTCACCACAACAAACCTGCCAAGAGAGGGCAACCCACCAAAACTCACGGACCAGGCAAGGAGGGCATTAATCAGAGAGGCAACAAAGAGACCAAAGATAACCCTGAAGGAGGTTCAAGTGTTCTGTTTTTTTTGTCTTATTTCTTGTTTGTTTCACAAAAAAAAATATTTTGCATCTTCAAAGTGGTAGGTAAATCAAATGATACAAACCCCCCAAAAATCAATTTTAATTCCAGGTTGTAAGGCTACAAAATAGGAAAAATGCCAAGGGGTGTGAATACTTTCGCAAGCCACTGTAGGAAGAGTTATTAAGGGGGGGGGGGGGGGGATGCTCTTGATGGTGCAGCTTTAGAACCTTTTGAGGATCTGAGGACCCATGCCAAATCTTTTCAGTCTCCTGAGGGGGAATAGGTTTTGTCGTGCCGTCTTCACGACTGTCTTGGTGTGCTTGGACAATGTTAGTTTGTTGGTGATGTGGATACCAAGGAACTTGAAGCTCTCAACCTGTTCCACTACAGCCCCGTCGATGAGAATGGGGGCGTGCTCGGTCCTCTTCTTTTTCCTATAGTCCACAATCACCTCCTTTGTCTTGATCACGTTGAGGGAGAGGTTGTTGTCCTGGCACCACACGGCCAGGTCTCTGACCTCCTCCCTATAGGCTGTCTCGTCGTTGTCGGTGATCAGGCCTACCACTGTTGTGTCATCGGCAAACTTAATGATGGTGTTGGAGTCATGCCTGGCCATACAGTTATGAATGAACAGGGAGTAAAGGAGGGGACTGAGCACGCACCCCTGAGGGGCGGATGTGTTGTTACCTACGCTTACCACCGGGGGGCGGCCCGTCAGGAAGTCCAGGATTCAGTTTCAGAGGGAGGTGTTTAGTCCCAGGGTCCTTAGCTTGGTGATGAGCTTTGAGGGCACTATGGTGTTGAACGCTGAGCTGTAGTCAATGAATAGCATTCTCACATAGGTGTTTGTTTTGTCCAGGTGTGAAAGGGCAGTGTGGAGTGCAGTAGAGATTGCATAATCTGTGGCTCTGTTGGAGCGGTATGCAAATTGGAGTGGGTCTAGGGTTTCTGGGATAATGGTGTTGATGTGAGCCATGACCAGCCTTTCAAAGCATTTCATGGCTACAGACGTGAGTGTTACGGGTCAGTAGTCATTTAGGCAGGTTACCTTAGTGTTCTTGGGCACAGGGACTATGGTGGTCTGCTTGAAACATGTTGGTATTACAGACTCAGACAGGGAGAGGTTGAAAATGTCAGTGAAGACACTTGCCAGTTGGTCAGCTCATGCTCGGAGTACACGTCCTGGTAATCCATCTGGCCCTGCGGCCTTGTGAATGTTGACCTGTTTAAAGGTCTTACTCACATCAGCTACGGAGAGCGTGATCACACAGTCGTCCGGAACAGCTGATGCTCTCATGCATGTTTCAGTGTTACTTGCCTAGAAGCGAGCATAGAAGTAATTTAACTCGTCTGGTAGGCTCGTGTCACTGGGCAGCTTGTGGCTGTGCTTCCCTTTGTAGTCTGTAATAGTTTGCAAGCCCTGCCACATCCGATGATCATCGGAGCCGGTGTAGTACGATTCGATCTTAGTCCTGTATTGACGCATTGCCTGTTTGATGGTTCGTCAGAGGGCAGAGCGGGATTTCTTATAAGCTTCCGGGTTAATGTCCCACTCCTTGAAAGTGGCAGCTCTACCCTTTAGCTCAGTGCGGATGTTGCCTGTAATCCATGGCTTCTGGTTAGGTATGTACGTACAGTCACTGTGGGGAGGACGTCATCGATGCACTTATTGATGAAGCCAGTGACTGATGTGGTGTACTCCTCAATGCCATCGGAAGAATCCCGGAACATATTCCAGTCTGTGCTAGCAAAACAGTCCTGTAGCTTAGCATCTGCTTCATCTGACCACTTTTCTATTGACCGAGTCACTGGTGCTTTCTGCTTTAGTGTTTGCTTGTAAGCAGGAATCAGGAGGATATAATTATGGTCAGATTTGCCAAATGGAGGGCGAGGGAGAGCTTTGTACGCGTCTCTGTGTGTGGAGTAAAGGTGGTCTAGAGTTCTTTCCCTCTGGTTGCACATTTAACATGCTGGTAGAAATTAGGTAAAACTGATTTAAGTTTCCCTGCATTAAGTCCCCGGCCACTAGGAACGCCGCCTCTGGATTAGTGTTTTCCTGTTTGCTTACGGCCGAATACAGCTCATTGAGTGCGGTCTTAGTGCCAGCATCGGTTTGTGGTGGTAAATAGACAGCTACGAAGAATATAGATGAAAACTCTCTTGGTAGATAGTGTGGTCTACAGCTTATCATGAGATACTCTACCTCAGGCGAGCAAAACCTTGAGACTTCCTTAGATATCGTGCACCAGCTGTTGTTTACAAATATACATAAGCCACCACCCCTTGTCTTACCAGAGGCTGCTGTTCTATCCTGCAGATACAGTGTATAATCCACCAGCTGTATGTTATTCATGCCTTTGTTCAGCCACGATTGGTGAAACATAAGATATTACAGTTTTTAATGTCCCGTTGGTAGGATATACGTGCTTTTAGTTCGTCCACTTTATTTTCCAGTGATTGTACATTGGCCAATAGTACCGATGGCAAAGGCAGATTAGCCACTCCTCGCCGGCTCCTTATCAGGCACCCCGATCTCCTTCCGCGATATCTCCATCTCTTTCTCCTGCAAATGACGGGTATGAGGGCCCTATCGGGTGTCTGGAGCAAATCCCTCTCGTCCGACTCATTAATGATTATTTGTCCAGTTCAAGGTGAGTAATCGCTGTTCTGATGTCCAGAAGCTATTTTCGGTCATAAGAGACAGTAGCAGCAACATTATGTACAAAATAAGTTACAAAATAAGTTACAATCAATGCGAAAAAACTCACAAAATAGCACGGTTGGTTAAGAGTCAATAAAACGGCAGCCATCCCCTCCGGCACCATTACTATGACTCAAGTTTGTAAGGCTCTGGTTAGAAATGGATGATGTGAGTGTGAAATCTTTGGATGTTTTTTTCTGGGCCAGTTTGCCCAACAAAGACATTAAAGAAAAGAATGTTCGGAACTGACAGGTTGAAAATTGCAGATTTGGGCACTGTTAAGCACCTAAATTGGAATGCAGTGGCTGTACAGTAACATGCTATACATAACGTCAGAGCTCAGGCTCTGCGCTTTACAGCGCTGTAGGGGTTTTGATTGACAGCCGTTCTGAACTTGAGCACCGCAAGCGACAAGAAGTTGCCTCCATCCCTCCCACAAACTGGGCAACTTTTAAATATTTTTTTTTGTCTGAATGAGGGAAATGCTGTAAATTATTATAATTGTTATTAATTCGCCTCAGAATGCACCCATCACTTCTTTCAATGCACACTAAAATTACGATCTGTTTCTCTGAATTGCCTTGTGAAAGCCTAACACTGTAAGATCGTATTTTATAACTTAGCTGGTCTTGTTGGCAATAGAACAAGCTTTCAAATGATGCCCACCTGACCCAGAATGCGATTTATAATGATCCATTTTTGGATTGCGTAAACAACAACAGTAATTGTGTGATGGTGGGGACGCAGGGTTGTGTTCCAAACAAAACAACTACAAGTGTGTTTGCTCTAGTTCCTCAACGGCACAGCTAGGAGAGCTAAAGAAAAGTTCCTTATAGTTGAAGACTCTTCTTTGAGTTATAAAAGTGCATTGAAATTACTTAGGAACTGTGCACACTCTGGAGAGGTGTGTGGCCACTTGGAGACACCAGTTAGTCCTCTCACTTAACATGTTGTCTTATGTTACACCTACCCCACATTTCCCAGGAATATTCTTATCATGTTACTGAATGTATCCACATTATTTTCAGATTTAGTTATCAACAAATACGGCAAAAAGTACAGTAAATGTAAAATGCTCATAAAATCAACAGTGTAATGTTTGGATTCAGTCTTGTGTCAGGTGAACTGTTGTGTCCTTAAATGTGGTCTAATACATTTCCCAGAATCTCCAAACTGTTCCCTTTCAGTTGCTACAATGCTTATGCATTTCATATTTCTTCTGTAAGAAACATTTTAATTGAACCCTGTTCAAATAGGCCAATTCCCACAAGTGCAAAGAGTTAACGAACCACATGATGTGTATTCAATATTACTTGGATGGACACACAACACTATTTTCTCAAGCAGTGGGTGCCAGATTGAAGAACATATCAAGCTGAGATATGTCCACCCATGTCCCATACCATCTGTTGTGTATATGACGTCTCAATCCCAAATTAACTATCCCTTTAAATTGAACTACCACAACTCACTCCTCTGTTACAGTAAACCAGGCTGTTATTGTTAAAGGGAAATATATTCTCAATAACCTACATGGATAAATAAAAGTACCATCTGATGAACTATCACTTCAACTTGAACTAACACAGCTCATTCTGTTTAACAAAGAGAATGTGCTCTCATCAACCTACCTGGATAAAGAAAATAAATAACCATAATGTCCTTTCTCCTCTGTCTTTGGCAGAGAAACCGGTGCAGACATTGGTGGACCATGAGGAGAAGGCACCCTATAAGATGATCCAGACTATAGGTCTGTCTGTGGGGGCGGCAGTGGCCTACATCATCGTGGTGCTGGGCCTCATGTTCTACTGCAAGAAGAGACGCAACGCCAAGAGACTGCAGAAGGGCCAGGAGGGAGAGGAGCCTGAGATGGAGTGTCTTAACAGTGAGTTGGGGGGTTAGGGGTGTGTGTGGGGGGGGTGGTTTGGTGGGTGCGTGGGTGGGTGGGTTTCGCAAGTGGCTAGTTTGCATCAACTACCTTAACTAAAACCACTGCAAAGGTTTTGCTTGCAAACTTTAGTTTCGAATCGTGACGTTCTGGCATGATTTGTTGCGATAGTCCCCAATTTCTTTCCCTTCCCTTATCAACGTAGGCAGTGACATAGTTCCTCTATGCCAAAAGAGTCCATCATTAAACCAGACCCTATTCACTGTGTTGCCTAGGGTCTGGTTTTCGAGACTAAGTGTCAATTGCAGGTGGGTTTCTGAGTAAATTCACTGTTTACTATAATCTTGTGTAGGCTACGTGTCTGGCAAGTAATTGTGTCTTTGTGAGTCACAGAAGAAACATTTATTTATGAGTCTGTGTGTCTGAATGCTCTTACCTACTCCATGCTCTGCCCGTACATGTTGAACATTTTGTGTTCACTCATATCCAGTTGACTTGCTACCACCTTGTGGCTGCCAAGAGCATTGCAAGGAAAGTGCAATAGTCACCATCTTCAAATACCTGGGTGTTGAGTGTTACCTTGTCTTATGTAAGATTAAATAAGCAAAACTGGGGTGCTCTCCTTACAAACTAAATACTTATCTTTTTGAAGTTAATCCACATATAATGGCTCCACTTGTTCCCTTTCATCTGTACAACTGGCCCTGAAGTGCTCAGCGCTCAAAGTATGGGGTTATAGGCCTATGGGGTTATAGGCCTACACACTCAAATAACTTTTCTTTCTGATTTCAAAATATTTGCATTATTATAAAATGGTTATGAAATATTTCTAATCATCAAACTGGAGTATGTTTGAATTGTGTTGGGCAATATCTGCCCATATTACTGTCTCCACATTTCCTGGTGGATTTCACATCACATGACACATTCGGTGTGTTTCAGGGGATTATTTTGACCAAGGCGAGGTGCAGAATCGCTTATCTTGACCACATAATGAGTAGTTATTTGGGATGCAAGGTGATTTGTACATCAGTGATTCTGTGCAGTCAATCTCAAACATGCACATTGTGTAATGTGGTTGCTGTCCACCAGGAGGGGCTGTACAGCAGAATGGCCACACCACAGCTGAAATCCAGGAAGAGGTGGCCTTGACCAGCGTGGGCACCACAGCAGCAGCAGAGAAACGCCATAGCAGTGCCAACGAAAAGCTTCATTTCCCCCGGGCAGACCTACACACCATCACTACACTGGGTAAGATGGTCACACCGGTTTGAGGAGTGAGTCTAATTGAGAACGTGCCGTACAGCTGTGCACTGTACAGCAATAGCTGGAGTAAACGCTTGGAACACATTTTCATTCACTTACTTAATTTCACCTCTATTTACCAGGTTTGTCTTAAATCCTAACCCTGGAAGAGAATGTTGGCATATCTAATCTCTGACCTGTGTGTGTGTGTGCCTGCGTGCGTGCGTGCCTACCTGTCTGTCCGTCTGTCTTCCTGCCTGCGCCTGCCTGGGTGTAGGGAAGGGGGAGTTTGGCGAGGTGCTGCTGGCCAAGGCGAAGGGCATCGAGGAGGGCGAGGAGGAGACGGTGGTGCTGGTGAAGAGCCTACAGAGCAGAGACGAGCAGCTACAGCTGGATTTCCGCCGTGAGGCCGACATGTTCTCCAAGCTGAGCCACGGCAACGTGGTGCGACTGCTGGGACTGTGTAGGGAGGCCGAGCCCCACTATATGATCCTGGAGTATTACGACCTGGTAAACACACACATACATGTGCGCACAAAGACGCACACACACATAGATGCACACATGAGCGAGCGCACACACATACATACAAGCGAATTAACACACACACACTACATGATAGATGCTGAACAATTACATACCCATATAGCATAGTGTAACATACTCTTATCCATGCTTTATATTCATATAGACTATAGCAATTGTCTATGCAAGGTTTATGAAGTTATGCAGTTTAAATTTGAGTACTCTAATAGATCACGCAACTAACCTTGGTACATGCCTCCATGTGTGTTCTTTTTATCGTTATACTTCCTACATTTACAAAGTGAACATGTTTTTGACCTTTGATTCTTTATTTATATCTCTTTCTGTTTCCTTGGAAATAGGGAGATCTGAAACAGTTCTTGAGAATCTCCAAAAGCAAAGATGAGAAAAGCAACTCCCAACCTATCGCCACCAAGACCAAAGTAAGTAGCGTTCACTACATGTTGGATGTAATTTGCTTATTTCATTTGAAAAACAAGCACACGACACATGCCATTATGCCCCCTTTAATGGAAACGTTATGATCCTGCTAGATGGCACACAGGTGTCTGCATTTTGATGCAAACTAGTCCTTTTTTCAAAATATTTTTGACAACTTTATAAAACCCTACTATGTTAAACCTGCTTGATTCATGCTATCCCGTGTTAAGCAGCTTTGTATTACAGTTGAAGTCGGAAGTTTACATACACTTAGGTTGGAGTCATTAAAACTCGTTTTTCAACCGCGCCACACATTTCTTGTTAACAAACTATAGTTTTGGCAACTCGGTTAGGACATCTACTTTGTGCATGACACAAGTAATTTTTCCAACAATTGTTTACAGACAGATTATTTAACTTATAATTAACTGTATTGCAATTCCAGTGGGTCAGAAGTTTACATACACTAAGTTGACTGTGCCTTTAAACAGCTTGGAAAATTCCAGAAAAGTCTTGGCTTTAGAAGCTTCTGATAGGCTAATTGAAATCATTTGAGTCAATTGGAGGTGTACCTGAGGATGTATTTAAAGGCCTACCTACAACCTCAGTGCCTCTTTGCTTGACATCATGGGAAAATCAGCCAAGACCTCAGAAAATATTTTGTAGACCTCCACAAGTCTGGTTCATCATTGGGAGCAATTTCCAAACACCTGAAGGTACCACGTTCATCTGTACAAACAATAGTACGCAAGTATAAACACCATGGGACCACGCAGCCGTCATACCGCTCAGGAAGGAGACGCGTTCTGTCTCCTAGAGATGAATGTACTTTGGTGCGAAAAGTGCAAATCAATCCCAGAACAACAGCAAAGGACCTTGTGAAGATGCTGGAGGAAACAGGTACAAAAGTATCTATATCCACAGTAAAACAAGTCCTATATCGACATAACCTGAAAGGCCGCTCAGCAAGGAAGAAGCCACTGCTCCAAAACCGCCATAAAATGCCAGACATTGGGACAAAGATCGTACTTTTTGGAGAAATGTCCTCTGGTCTGATGAAACAAAAATAGAACTGTTTGGCCATAATGACCATCGTTATGTTTGGAGGAAAAAGGGGGATGCTTGCAAGCCGAAGAACACCATCCCAACCGTGAAGCACGGGGGTGGGAGCATCATGCTGTGGGGGTGCTTTGCTGCAGAAGGGACTGGTGCACTTAACAAAATAGATGGCATCATGAGGAAGGAAAATTATGTGGATATATTGAAGCAAGACAGGAAGTTAAAGGTTGGTCGCAAATGGGTCTTCCAAATAGACAATGACCCCAAGCATACATCCAAAGTTGTGGCAAAATGGCTTAAGGACAACAAAGTCAAGGTATTGGAGTTGCCATCACAAAGCCCTGACCTCAATCCTATTGAAAAGTTGTGGGCAGAACTGAAAAGGCGTGTGCGAGCAAGGAGGCCTACAAACTTGACTCAGTTACACCAGCTCTGTCAGGAGGAATGGGACAAAATTCACCCAACTTATTGTGGGAAGCTTGTGGAAGGCTACCCGACACGTTTGACCCAAGTTAAACAATTTAAAGGCTATGCTACCAAATACTATGCTACCAAACTTCTGACCTACTGGGATTGTGATGAAAGAAATAAAAGCTGAAATAAATCATTCTCTCTACTATTATTCTGACATTTCACATTCTTAAAATGAAGTGGTGATCCTAACTGACCTAAGACAGGGAATTTTTACTAGGATTAAATGTCAGGAATTGTGAAGAACTGAGTTTAAATGTATTTGGCTAAGGTGTATGTAAACTTCCGACTTCAACTGTATATGCTAATGCCCTCTCTCTCTCTCTCTCTCCCTCATCATCTACCCAGATATCCATCTGTGCCCAGGTGGCTCATGGGATGGAGCACATGTCCAATCACCGCTTCGTCCACAAGGACCTGGCCGCCCGTAACTGCCTGATCAGTGGCCAACGCAGCGTCAAAATCTCAGCTCCCAGCCTCAGCAAGGATGTTTACAACAGGTAAGAGATGGGGCCTGCCATGTGTAGTTACGGTCTATCATGTGAGAAGAAAGTATAGCAAAAGTGTACTAGGATGATCTATGCAGCCATTGTTAAGTGTAAAGTCAAGACAAAAATAGTAACACGTTATCATGCACATAATTAAGCTATATTGACATTTGTCTGTCTCTCTCTCTCTGTCTGTCTGTCTGTCTGCAGTGAGTACTACCACTACCGGCAGGTGTGGATCCCCCTGCGTTGGCTCCCGGCTGAGTCTGTGTTTGAGGATGACTTCTCCACCAAGTCAGATGTCTGGGCCTTCGGGGTGCTCATGTGGGAGGTGTTCAGTCACGGGGAACTGCCATACACCAAACTCAGTGATGACGAGGTGCTGGAAGGTCAGTATAAATCAATAGAAATGTAGAACAATAGAAATGTACTTGGTGCCCACCAATCTGTGTGCTCCAATGGCTGAGCAATCACTGTTCAGATATCAGTCCTGCAAAGAGTACTGGGCCTGTCCGAGTACCCATACTTGCGTTTTAAATAGTAGGCTGATTGGGTATGAGAAAATAGAATGTTTTATAGTATGTGAAAATTTAAAAAATGTAGTATGCTTTAAATGCCAGGATGTCATACTCATTTGGGCTTTTCATCTATCATGAATTCGCTGCACACTATTGAGGAAGAGAATTGTCTTTCCAGACCCACATGTGTTTGACAACAGCCTATAATCAGATAAGGTGATGCGCTGTACCAAAATGGACAAATGGAGGGAAACAACACAATTGTGCATTAGATGATGCATTCTCAGTATGGACACGCCTAGTATGTTGATAGTTTTTTATTACATACGTTTTTACTAAACAGTACATTCTAAATAGTATGCAGTTTTAGGTAGTAGCAGGCAAGATAGATTTCGGACACGGCCACTCTGTCCTATTCTTGGAGTAGCTTCAAGCTATTCTCAAGTGGCTATTCTCAGTCTCAGAACTGTGATGAATCATGGTTCTGTTAGGGGAACAACTTGTATTTGGTTGACATTGTATTGAGATACACTGTACTGTAGGTCACCTTGACAAAGAAAGTGGCACATACAGTATCATCATGTTATTATCAAGCTGAGGGCAGGCAATCTACCCAATCATTTTTATGAATCCCCTATCAGAAACAACTTCACACCATTCTTATGATGATTTCACTCATTGTTCCATAAGAATGGAGTGAATGAGTCAAATCACCTTGACCTGTATGTTCTCTCTCCCAAGTCTAACCTCCCCTGTTTCTCTGCTCCACTCTTCTCTCCCCAGGTCTGCAGGCAGGCAAGATGAAGCTGCCCGTGCCCGACGGCTGCCCCTCCAAAGTCTACAAGCTCATGTGCCGCTGCTGGGCCCCCAGTCTCAAAGAGCGTCCCTCCTTCAGCGAGGTTGTCAATGCCCTGGGGGATCTGTCCTCTGACAGCAATGTCTGAGAGGAGGACAACTGAACCCACCCCACCCCAAAGGGTGACATCTCCCCCCGCACCCCCCAAAAAATAAACACAGAAATTCTGGATTCTGAGTCGCACACATTTCAGGGACCAGGGAGGGACCAGGAGTTTGGACAAGAAGAAGAAGAGAACACTTTTGTTATACCAATGGATTGGATACATACCGTTGTGTAGATGGTTTCATGTGTGGAGGACACGAGTGCCAGGAGTTTACGTTTGCCTTAATCGCAGCATGGAAGGCATACCAGCTGACGCTGTCCCTCTTGGCCCATGTGGTTCCAGTGGGCCCATGCCTGGCATGGGTCTCTCAGGGCTGGTTTGTCCCAGAGACGCTCTCCCTCTCTTTTTTGACCCTGCAGCACAGGAACCATAAAAACTAAAATGCCTCTCCTTGCCTACCTGAACCTCAATCTACCAACTCTAAAGTCCCCCCCCAACCAATCCAGGAGGAGAACCTAAGATATTTTTATCAATCAGGGGGACCTTTGTGTATGTGCTGGACTGGACTCACCACCTGAAAGCTGTATCTAGTGTGTTTCAGACTTGGAATTTGCAGCCTCTAATGTGTGCCACTGATGCTGTTGGCTGAGCTGTTGTTCTGATATCTATTGGAGGCAAGATCTGAGTATAAGCACCAATGGACAAGGTTTCGCATGAGGTTTTTACTATAAAGTTTAAACTTGAAAGTCTGTTACTCATTGTGTCTGGGGAACTCAGTGGATTGACTTGTCTGTGTGAATTATTAACTTTACAGGAACAAATGTACTATCAAATTTATAGCCATGGAATATCTCGAGTGAGTGATTTTTTTTTTTTTTTTTTTGTGCACTTTTTAATCTCTTATGAGTGTGTTACGAGTATCATTTGAACTCTAAGGTGCTCGATGGTGACCATCATTGATGGGATTACCATATAATAGACCACATATTAGATGTATAACCATGTTATCACTTTTGCAGTCTGTCATTATTAAATGGCCTGCGATGCTGTCTTTTCAGAGGTCCAATCACAATTCCCCTTTCTTTCTAGCTGGTCCAATGATTTTGTGCAATGTTGTAATGTGGACCATCCCACAAGACAATGTGTACATAATGTAGAAACCATGCACTAACTTCACTTAAAAATATCCCTTTTTATTACTATTATATTGTAAAAGGATGTACCTACGGGAACCTGTTTATTTATTATGAAGGTCCCGTCTTTTTTACCTTTTTATTTTTCTTCATAAAAAGGTACTTTAATCACTTAATGCAGTTGCATATGTATTCAGTCTCTTATGATACATCTCAGTAATGCAGTCAGTTTGGTAATATATTTGTTATTACCAAGAGCAAAGATGGATGAGAGAGAGAGTCACCAATGCTCTTCAAGGGACTCTGAAGTGCCTGGTAAATGAAGGATTATTAGCTGTTTTTCCACTTTCCTTTTTCACAATATCTAATCAAAATGCAATGGCCTTTTTTGTTTTTTATATATTGTTTTTAGTGCGAAACTGTTTTTTGTGTTATTGAATGCTAGGCGCTCACACCTAGGCCTCTTTTTTAATCAGCTTCAGCTAATGGTCACAGTAACCTCAATGTATACAAGCTGCTCTCAATAAAGGATCACGTTTTTTTAAACTAAGGTGTCTCGTCTGTCTAATTGCTGTTACATTTTTTTACATTTACGTCATTTAGCAGACGCTCTTATCCAGAGCGACTTACAAATTGGTGCATTCACCTTATAGACAGTGGGATAACCACTTTACAATATTTTTTGTTTGTTTGTTTTGTTTTTTGTTTGTTTTTCTTTCTTTGGGGTGGGGTAAGGGGGGGTAGAATGATTACTTTATCCTATCCCAGGTATTCCTTAGAGGTGGGGTTTCAAGTGTCTCCGGAAGGTGGTGAGTGACTCCGCTGTCCTGGCGTCGTGAGGGAGCTTGTTCCACCATTGGGGTGCCAGAGCAGCGAACAGTTTTGACTGCTGTGTTACATAGAACTCACTCTGATTGGCTCCGTACACACTCAAGTTGTACAACTGATGTACGACGCATTTTGCATGTACGTGATACAACAGAGTTCTTCTGCACAAACACTATTACACAAGCGTTGTGGAGACGCCACACAATGGTTGTGTAAAACATTTTGTGCAGACAAACTCTTCACGGTGTCGCAAAAATATCAGTTGTGCCACAACTGTCGTGGGTGTACATTTTTATAAAGTCTTTGATGTAGCTGAGTTTAATTTTCAGCTGAAGAGTAGACCATTTTCAAATGACATCTAGGCTTACCCACATCCACTCACAAAGTAATCTTAAAGCTTCCCCCCGTGAATCATCTCATCATTGTGCTGATAGAGACCATTGTGTGGATAGAGAGGAGAGGGTGTGGGCGTTTTCACATGCAAATGTGGCCTTTCCGTTACCGCTCTCTTCTACCTCTCTTGGTTCATTTTCTCTTTCACAGAGGGATCTTCACTATGTGACTCATCATCATGTAGCCCTGTGTGGCATGAGACTCTGGGGCTGTTCACATAGACCTACTGCTTATCATAAATGATGATATTGACCCTTGATTGGCCTGATAACACAATCTCAATTGCACTTCACACTGCTCTCTCCCACCTGGACAAGAGGAATACCTATGTGAGAATGCTGTTCATTGACTACAGCTCAGCGTTTAACACCATAATCCCCTCCAAACTCGTCACCAAGCACAGGACTGTCCAAGCTCGGGACTGTTCTATCCACTACAGTCTGGCAAATGGTACCGGAGCATCAGGTTCCGGGCCAACAGGCTCAGAGACAGCTTCTATCTACAAGCAATAAGACTGTTGAACAGCTAACTGATGGCTGCTCACCCCCATCTATCCTCTATCCAAACACTCACACATACTTACACTAATACTCTCTCTCACACACACACACACATAATGCACACATACCGACTCCACACACAACTACACACACTATCACACAAGCACACACACTTTCACCATATATGATGCTGCTACTTTTTATTATTATTTATCCTGTTGCCTAGTCAATTCTAGTCATTTTTATCCCTACCTACAGTGGGGAAAAAAAGTATTTAGTCAGCCACCAATTGTGTAAGTTCTCCCACTTAAAAAGATGAGAGAGGCCTGTAATTTTCATCATAGGTACACGTCAACTATGACAGACAAATTGAGAAAATGTTTTGCAGAAAATCACATTGTAGGATTTTTAATGAATTTATTTGCAAATTATGGTGGAAAATAAGTACCGTATTTTCAGCACTATAAGGCGCACCGGAGTATAAGCCGCAGCAGCTAAATTGAATGATATTGAATGATGTGTACATATATAAGCCGCACTGGACTATAAGCCGCAGGTGTTTGTAATGTTTAATTACCATATTTAAGGGTTCGTGCACAGAGGGGATTGTCGGGAAAGAGACAAACTGTCTCGCTCTCGTAATGTCTGTCTGTCTTGCTCTCGTTCTGTCTCTCGTACCACTCTCGGTTCCACTTTTGCGCGCTACATGTCTCACTCTTTTCCGGCCTCCAGCTTTTCCTGCTGGAGCCCGCCGCTTAAAGGTGGGGGGCGCGGACCGGTCATAGAGCCCATAGAGTTAAAGTTGGTGGACTGTAACCTGTAAAATCCATAGATTTAGGAGGTCTTCTAGTGGCCGTTAGCTGTAAAAATCCATAGATTAGCCGCACCGTTATATAAGCCGCAGGGTCGAAAAATGGGAAAAAAGGCGCGGCTTATAGTCCGAAAATTACGGTATTTGGTCACCTACAAACAAGCAAGATTTCTGGCTCTCACAGACCTGTAACTTCTTTAAGAGGCTCCTCTGTCCTCCACTCGTTACCTGTATTAATGGCACCTGTTTGAACTTGTTATCAGTATAAAAGACACCTGTCCACAACCTCAAACAGTCACACTCCAAACTCCACTATGGCCAAGACCAAAGAGCTGTCAAAGGACACCAGAAACAACATTGTAGACCTGCACCAGGCTGGGAAGACTGAATCTGCAATAGGTAAGCAGCTTGGTTTGAAGAAATCAACTGTGGGAGCAATTATTAGGAAATGGAAGACATACAAGACCACTGATAATCTCCCTCGATCTGGGGCTCCACGCAAGATCTCACCCCGTGGGGTCAAAATTATCACAAGAACGGTGAGCAAAAATCCCAGAACCACACGGGGGGACCTAGTGAATGACCTGCAGAGAGCTGGGACCAAAGTAACAAAGCCTACCATCAGTAACACACTACGCCGCCAGGGACTCAAATCCTGCAGTGCCAGACGTGTCCCCCTGCTTAAGCCAGTACATGTCCAGGCCCGTCTGAAGTTTGCTAGAGTGCATTTGGATGATCCAGAAGAGAATTGGGAGAATATCATATGGTCAGATGAAACCAAAATATAACTTTTGGGTAAAAACTAAACTCGTCATGTTTGGAGGACAAAAAATGCTGAGTTGCATCCAAAGAACACCATACCTACTGTGAAGCATGGGGGTGGAAACATCATGCTTTGGGGCTGTTTTTCTGCAAAGGGACCAGGACGACTGATCCGTGTAAAGGAAAGAATGAATGGGGCCATGTATCGTGAGATTTTGAGTGAAAACCTCCTTCCATCAGCAAGGGCATTGAAGATGAAACGTGGCTGGGTCTTTCAGCATGACAATGATCCCAAACACACCGCCCGGGCAACAAAGGAGTGGCTTCGTAAGAAGCATTTCAAGGTCCTGGAGTGGCCTAGCCAGTCTCCAGATCTCAACCCTATAGAAAATCTTTGGAGGGAGTTGAAAGTCCGTGTTGCCCAGCGACAGCCCCAAAACATCACTGCTCTAGAGATCTGCATGGAGGAATGGGCCAAAATACCAGCAACAGTGTGTGAAAACCTTGTGAAGACTTACAGAAAACGTTTGACCTGTGTCATTGCCAACAAAGGGTATATAACAAAGTATTGAGAAACTTTTGTTATTGACCAAATATTTATTTTCCACCATAATTTGCAAATAAATTCATTAAAAATCCTACAATGTGATTTTCTGGATTTTTTTTCCTCATTTTGTCTGTCATAGTTGACGTGTACCTATGATGAAAATTACAGGCCTCTCTCATCTTTTTAAGTGGGAGAACTTGCACAATTGATGGCTGACTAAATACTTTTTTTCCCCACTGTACATGTATATATTACCTCAACTTACCTGCACAAATATCTCATTAACATAAGTATTCACACCCCTGAGTCAATACTTTGTAGAAGCACTTTTGGCAGCAATTACCGCTGTGAGTGTTTCTGGGTAAATTTCTAAGAGCTTTCCACATCTGGATTGTGCAACATTTTCCCATTTATATTTTCAAAATTCTTCAAGCTCTGTCAAATTGGTTGCTGATCATTGCTAGACAACCATTTTCAGGTCTTGCTATAGATTTTCAAGCAGATTTAAGTTTAAACTTTAGCTTGGCCACTCAGGAACATTCACTGTCGTCTTGGTAAGCAACTCCAGTGTAGATTTGGCCTTGTGTTTTAGGTTATCGTCCTGCTGAAAGGTGAATTCATCTCCCAGTGTCTGTTGGAAAGCAGACTGAACCAGATTTTCCTCTAGGATTTTGCCTGTGCTTAGCTCCATTACGTTTCTTTTTTATCCTGAAAACTCCCCAGTCCTTAACGATTACGAGCATATCCATAACATGATGCAACCACCACTATACTTGAAAATATGGAGAGTAATGTGGTACTCAGTAATGTGTTCTATTGGATTTGCCCCAAACATAACACTTTGTATTCAGGACAAAAAGTGAATTGCTTTGCCACATTTTTTGCAGTATTACTTTAGTGCCTGTTTTGGAATATTTGTATTATGTACAGGCTTCATTCTTTTCACTCTGTCAATTAGGTATGTATTGTGGAGTAACTTCAATGTTGTTGATCCATCCTCAGTTTTCTCCAATACAGCCATTAAACTCTGTAACTGTTTTAAAGTCACCATTTGCCTCATGGTGAAATCTCTGAGTGGTTTCCTTCCTCTCTGGCAACTGAGTTCGGAAGGACGTCTGTATCTTTGTAGTGACTGGGTGTATTGATACACCATCAAAAGTGTCATTAATAACTTCACCATGCTCAAAGGGATATTCATTGTCTGCTTAAAAAATAAAAGTAATGTATTACAACTACCAATATGTGCCCTTCTTTGAGAGGCACTGGAAAACCTCCCTGGTCTTTGTGGTTGAATCTGTGTTTGAAATTCACTGCTCGACTGAGGGACCTTACAGATAATTGTACACTCTTAGAAAAAAGGGTTCTAAAAGGGTTCTTCGGCAGTTCCCATAGGATAACCTTTTTTGGTTCCAGGTAGAACTCTTTTGGATTCCATGTAGAACCCTCTTGGGAAAGGGTTCTACATGGAAGCCGATAGGATTCTATCTGGAACCAAAAGGGTTTTACCTGGAACCAAAAAGTGTTATTTAAAGGGTTATCCTATGGGAACAGCCGAAGAACCCTTTTAGGTTCTAGATAGCACCTTTTTTTCTAAGAGTGTATTTCTGGGGTACAGAGATGAGGCAGTCATTCAAAAATCATGTTATACACTTTTACTGCACACAGAGTCCACGCAACTTATTATGTGACTTGTTAAGCAAATGTTTACT